CCTCTGGTGTTCGTACTTCTTGCCAGATCCGTGGTAATCCAAGTCATGAGGCCATAAACTGCTTTGATCGAATGAATCCTGATATTTCTGGAAAAATCCCTCCAGCCAAGCTTGCTGCAATATGTGCGCATTATACATCCAAGTCATCTCATCCTTCTTGGCTCATTGACTCTGGTGCAACTTCTCACATTACCAATGACATCGCCAACATCTCTTCTTCCTCTCCTTATACTGGTGACGATAAAGTCTATATTGGTGATGGTAAAGGTCTGTCCATCCATCATATTGGTTCCTCTTTGTTACATACTCCTCATACTTCTTTTAAATTGAACAATGTCCTTCATGTTCCTCACATGAAGCACAATTTATTGTCTGCTTTTCAATTTGTTAAAGACAATTCCTGTTCGTTGACCCTTGATTCTGATGGATCCTTTGTCAATGATCGTTCTACGGGGAAGATGCTTTTGCAGGGACCGGTTAAAGATGGCTCATATCCTTTGCAAAGCTCTCCTTCCACCGATATTGTTTCTTCCCGTTCTCCATCAGCATTTGTCAGTGTTCAAGCTCCAGTGAAGATTTGTCATAGTCGATTGGGTCATCCCTCCTCTGCTATTTTTCGCAAAGTACTTTCTAGTAATAAACTTGCACTGCAGGGTAAATCCTCCGTTGATTTCTTCTGCTCGAATTGTGTTGTGGCTAAAAACCATAAACTGCCATTTCACCCCGCTGGTTCATCTACTTACCATAGTCTAGCTTTGATTCATTGTGATGTATGAGGACCTGCCCCTGTTACTTCTGTGAGTGGTTTTCAGTATTATCTGTTGTTAGTCGTTGACTACACCAAATATAGTTGGCTCTTTCCTTTGAGAAGAAAATCTGAGGTGTATTCTACCTTTGTAACTTTCAAAACCTATGTGGAAAAATCTGTTGGAAATCAAATAAAGGCTATACGTTCTGATTCAGGGGGTGAATTCACTAGTGCTTCTTTTCAGTCTTATCTTAATTTGCATGGTATTTCTCATCAGTTCAGTTGTCCACATACGCCTGAACAAAATGGTTGTGTAGAACGTAAGCATCGGCATCTTGTCGAGATCGCCAGAACATTGTTAGTTGCATCTCATGTTCCTCAAGTTTATTGGGTTGAAGCTCTCTCCACTGCTATATACTTGATTAATCGGTTACCCATTTCTGGTCTTGTGACATCTCCTTGGGAGTTACTATTTCATTCCTTACCCGATTATACTCGGTTAAAGGTTTTTGGGTGCAGTTGTTACCCCTGGTTAAAACCTTATGTCACTTCTAAACTGGATGGCAAAAGCAAGCAGTGTGTTTTTCTTGGGTACAGTTTACAACATAAGGGTTATCGGTGTTTGGACATGGCTACTGACAGGGTCTACATCTCTCGGCATGTCACCTTTGATGAGAAGTTTTTTCCTTTTACTGCCAAGCCTGCTTTCCCTTCTCCTTCTATCCCTCCTGTTTCTACTGCTTTTGACCTACACTTTCCCCTGTCCACCTCACCCTCTACTTTACCCAGTTCTCATTCCATCAGTCCTCCTCCCATTACTGCTCCCTCTAGTGACCCTGTCTCCTCCCCTCTTTTCAGCCCTTTACCTTCTCCCTCCTCTCCATCTTTACCTGTTCAAAACATTCATCCTATGGTTACTCGTTCCAAAAATGGAATTTTTAAGCCTAAAGCCTACACCGCTACTAAACACCCTTTATCCTCCTCCATTGATTATGTTCCAACAACCTACACTCAGGCCTCTAAATTTGCTGAGTGGCGAGCAGCTATGCAGGCTGAATTCAATGCCCTCCAATCCACTGGCACCTGGATTTTGGTTCCTTCTTCTTCCTCCCAGAATGTTGTCGGTTGTAAATGGGTGTTTAGGATCAAGAAGAAGCTTGATGGAACTATTGACAGGTATAAAGCCCGGCTTGTTGCCAAGGGTTTTCATCAAAAAGATGGTTCGGATTATCAAGAAACCTTTAGTCCTGTGGCAAAACCTGTTACTATCCGACTTTTGTTAACTGTTGATGTCCACTTCAACTGGTTTCTGCATCAACTTGATATTAGCAACGCTTTCCTTCATGGTGATTTAAAAGAAGAAGTATTCATGCATCAGCCACCTGGTTTCAGTGATCCATCCTTTCCCAATCATGTGTGTCAACTCAAGAAGTCCTTATATGGCCTCAAACAGGCTCCAAGAGCATGGTTTGACAAGTTGTTTCAAGCTCTCAAGTCTCTTGGTTTCACTCAATCATCATCTGATGCTTCTCTCTTTGTTCTCAAGGTTCCGGTTACTGTCATTGTCCTTGTCTATGTCGATGACATCTTGGTTAGTGGTCATGATTCCTCCGTTTGCAATCTGTTCATCCAGCAACTGAGTTATTTGTTTCCTGTGAAGGACTTGGGTCTCTTACATTATTTCTTGGGCCTTGAAGTTCATCGAACCACCGACAGCTTATTTCTTCATCAAGGTAAATATCTGATGGACTTGTTACAAATGACCAAAATGGAGGGTGCTAAGCCTTGTTCTACTCCTCTTGGCCATGCCAAACTGGATCACATAGGTACACCTTTGGCAAATCCAACTGAATATCGGTCTATTGTGTGAGGTCTCCAGTATTTAACTTGGACTCGGCCTGATATTTCTTTTGCAGTTAATCAGGTATGCCAATTCATGTATACTTCTACTGAGTTACATCTGCAAGCAGCCAAAAGAATCCTCCGATTTCTCAAAGGCACATCGTCCCATGGTATATGGTTTCATAAAGGCCCTCTCACCTTATCCGCCTACTCTGATGCAGACTGGGCTGGCTGCCCTTTTGATCGGCGATCCACGAGTGGATTTTGTGTGTTTCTTGGCTCCACCTTAGTCAGCTGGAGTGCTAAAAAGCAGCCTACAGTAGCTCGTTCTTCTACTGAGGCTGAGTATCGATCCTTGGCTCATACTGCTGCAGAGGTTACCTGGATATGTAAAGTTTTCCGAGACTTTGGTTTCTCCTTCTCTGCTAAACCTACTATTTGGTGTGATAACATTTCTGCCATCTCTCTTGCTTCCAACCCTGTTTTCCATGCGCGTACCAAACATGTGGAAATTGATTACCACTATATACGGGAGCTTGTTCTTGCCAATCTGGTTAATGTTCAGTATGTTTGCAGTCAGGATCAGATAGCAGATATTCATACTAAATCTTTGTCCAAGAATCGGTTTCTCTTTCTTCAATCCAAGCTTTCTCTTGGCACTCCAAGTCTTTCCAAGCTCAGCTTGAGGGGGTGTAAAGATAAAGATGCCAAATCATGACAGTTCATATAGTTTAGGCAACCCATTATTCTTGTTACAACTGTATAGTTTGGTTAGGTTGTTATAATTTGTTACAGGATGATTAGAGGAAGTTTAGTACATGGCCTTGCCTATATATATATACCTCCAATGTAAATGTAATTAAGTAGTGAAGTCAGTAAATGGGAAGAGCATTATTCAGTAAAATCATTCTTCTATTTCTTTTGGTTTCTTTACTGTAAGTTGTACTGCAACAAGCTCACTGCAATCAAAGGACCCGCCAGCCACAGTTGCAACTTCGCTTCTTGAATTACAAGCCATCTTTTAGAAACCGGCACGTTCGGCGATATATCGGAATTTTGAGGCGCTAGCATTGGAAAAAAGGGTGACTATTTCTTCAGGTTCTATCCCCGATGTATCGGTCGCCAAAAGAGAGTTAAATTTCGGAAATTCTGGAAAAAAAATTCACCTAGCGTCGGAATGAGTCTGGGTTGTAGAGCCTCGCGAAGAACGACGTGAAAATTGAAACCCTTCTGTTGCGTTTTTCCTTCTCTTTTGACACATGACATAATCTACACCCTCCACTACAATCCTATTACAATTTGTACTATTCTATTATAATTTACACCCTCCACTACAATCCTATTACAATCCTACTACAATCTTATTATAATTTGTAAGGAACTTTAACGAAAAACTCTCGGTACTGTTCACTTTAATGAAAAACCATATTTTTACACTAAAAAGTCAATCATGGTACTATTCACTTTACCCTTTATTTTATCCTTATCGTTAAAACTCAAAGTTTTCAAGCCATTTTCATTAGTTTTCCTTAATTTGTATTCTTCTATTATAATAGGATTGTAGATATATCGTTCCGGATACCACATTCATCATTACGGCACAAGATCAAAGCACTGCAGTAAAGATTCTTGAACAGGTCCCCTGGGCTATCATGAAGCAGAATTTCTGTCAAGAGATGGCCGACTGAGCTTGCACTTGAGGAGATCCAGATGGAGCTAGTCCCTTTCTGGGTATAAATATGGGGTGTTCCGCTATACCTGAGTACGGATACAATGTTCGACGTCTGGCTAAGGAGATTGTTGAGTTCGTTGAGCTAGAAGACACCTCCAAGGCGCGTGGGTTCTTACGAGTGACAGTCACTGTTAATACCCAAAACCCATTGACGACGGGATGCTCGTGATAGAGATTTTACCACCTGCAAACGTGGGATAAAAACATTTAAAAATATTTGCAAGATAACAAGGTAATTGTAGTATAACAGTTTAAGTAAGATCGTTCTTCATAGAGATTGAATGAATAATTTATGTAAAAACCAAATCTTAATTAATTTTTTGAAACAAGATTTTGGAAAAGATTGTTTTTATGACCTAAAATATTTAAAAAGAAATTTAATTAAAAACAATTAAAAATTGGCAAAGTAAAGAAAACAAAAGAAAATAGTTTTGAAAATAATTTTTAGCACTAGAATTCTGCCGTCATCATTAACAATCCTACGCAATTTTACCAATTACTTCTAAATTTCCACGTACATGCTTTGAAGGTTAAGCTTTCCTAATACATATTTTCCTCGTGATGTTTAAGCGAAAACGTATATCAAATATGGGTTTGAGAAGGTAATTTAGGTAATAAATTTGGGTTTAAAGAGAGATTAGTTCTTTAATAAAAAATAATATGGATGAAAAGAATAAATTGGATGTAGAAAGAGATTACATGACTCAACAGTACTCTCGCCCTTCAGAACGGCCACCGAATGGACATCGACAAGTACTCTCGCCCTTCAGAAGACATAGATCCCAAGTATCAAGCCAAATCCTTCTCTAGGAATTTTCATAAATCCATAGGTACGTGCCTCTCCCATCGATCTCTAGTTATTATTTTATTTTTTTTAATTTCGTTTTTCTTTGTGTTAATTAATTAGGCTGCTCGTAAATTTTAATTTACTGAAAGGAAAATTTCGATTTTGTTTTGATCTTTTTGTTAAGAAATTGGGTGAAAGAAGCAGGTAGTTAAACATATTTTCTTTGATTTGAAAGAATCGTCTAATATTTATTTGATATTTTTGGTCATATTTTTGTTTACTTCTAACAATAGAACAACTTATAATATTGACACGATAATTATTTAGATACGCAAATGATTTCTGACGTATGAGGCTTGGCATTATCTTGTGCAGAAAAAGATTTGCAAGAAGCTTGGCCCATGATTAAATCTGCTTTAGACCAGTATAATATTTTATGCTCATTGGATGGTATGCAGTAATAATTATTCGTGAAATGTGATGAATTTTGAAACATGAATTATAATTATTCATACATTACTAAATTGTTTACTTTTGATCATGTTTAGGCCAGGGGTTACATGATAATCGTAGTGATCATGAATACAGACCCATATATTATTATCAGGGCAAGAAATCTTCTTCACCTTCTCTCAATTGGAGTTCCTGCATCTCAGGTAACAATTGACAGATCCTTAATTTGTTATTATTCCTTAGCTATATAGAGCCAATAAGCTATTCTCTGAGTTCGGGTAATTCTTGTATATAAACCTATTATATATTTCGTTTCAGGCATTAGAAGTTCTGAATGGAAAGATATGCGATGTCATCGACGTAGGGTTTAAAAGGAATGGACTTTGCTCAAAATTTGGTATCAAAAAGGTGTCTGTTCTTAATAAATTTCCTTGCATTAGTTGTTCTTGCAGTTGTTTGTCATTTTTCTTGGACCAAATGTCAGGTTACAAAAATCTTATCGTTTATGTTCTCGGATGCATTCTCTATAGCTGTGATGTAGAGCCTTTTTATTTCAGCAATATTTTGACATTGTTAATGGAATATGTGAGCACGGAATGTTGAATGGTGAAGCATCAACACGTACATAAAATGAGTGTAGCGGAGATGAGATTGCTTCATTGGATATTTGGGCACACAAGAAAGGATAAGATTAGGAATGATGATATCCGAGGTAAAGTAGGAGTAGCCGAAATTGAAGAAAAGATGAGAGAATTGGTTACGGTGGTTTGGACATGTGAAACAAAGGCCTACTGACGCTCTGGTTAGAAGGTGCGATTACGAGACAGAGGTTCAAGGCCGAAGGGGTAGATGAAGACCTATAAAGACTTTGGAATATACTCTAAGAAAAGACTTGGAGTACTTAGATCTAACTTAAGACGTGGCACAAAACCGAGCGCAATGGCATTCTAGGATTCATACAGCTAATCTCACTTAGTGGAAAAAGGATTTGTTGTTGTTGATGTTGTTGTTGGATCTTTAATTTGTTTGATATTAGAAAGAATTATAGTTAGTTAGGGTTTAGTGAACAGTAATTTATGTGAGGAAGAATAAGGAATACGGGGCTTTGTTGTCATATGCTACCTGCTATATGATGAGTACCGTTTCTAATCTCAAGTTATTGTGCAGGATCAATATGTTGAACGACGACATCTTCTCCGTGGCTCCTTGCAGGTGCAGGATCATTACCTTCTACTTTTCTTTAGTCATCTCTGAAAACTTCATTAGTTTCTTCCCGTTTGTCATTCTCTAATTTTTTTCTTTTTCTTCTTAAAATATAATTGAAATGTAGGCAATGGCAGATCTAACAGCCACTCAGATTTTCTTGCTTGTAAGTGTTAAGTGTTATTTTTTATTTTTATGTGAAGAAAGGATGATTAATTTACTAATTTTTAACTTGTCTGCAAATGAATAGGGTGAAGTCGTTGCTGCTATAGGGGGTTCATCTCTTGGATTAAACATATTCAGGAAGATTGTGGAAGACTGTATAGTCCATAAAGTGCCTCCTGCATACCATATCAAGAATTTTAAGATGAGAAAACAAGTGATGAAGGATCTCGAGGCTATGCGTTTATAATCTACATAGAGAGCTTATAATCCACAGCTTATCATTATGAGTAGAATTCTAGCTTATCGGTCATTTCAACAAAAAGAATAATCAAAGATCCATTGAAGCTGAAGGTGACGTCCAAGTTTACTGGCATGACCGTTGACGTGCAAGTGAAACCAACCGAAGATGTAAGGAAGCTAAGGGAGTCGCTGCCGAGCTTTGGAGATTATTTGTTCCCTCTCCCAGCAGAAGCGTATGCCTTCGTCTACAAAGAGCAATATATCATGGACGAAGGGAAGCCCTTTTTCTGGCATCATGTAGTTGGCGATGATGATACCATATATATTGATGCCTCTCCTCTGTGAGTGAGCCTACAGCAAACCAACATGCAGATGCACTAGCCTTAATTTATAGGGGATACTGTAACGTAGCACGAACATGCAGATGCAGAAGCGTATGTCTCCTCATCTCCTACCTCCCTCTTTCGCGATCGAGAAGCCCTTCCAGATTTCAGAATCTCTAGTGGGAACAGCCCATTCGACCGCAAACAACCATGTAGAACCGACGAGTTTACTTTGCTCTAATGTTGCTATCATAAAATGTTGTTGCGGACTGATGCATTGTGCTTTTTTCTTTGCTTCCCATCAAGATCCACAATCCCCCTTAAACCCAGAATTTATGGATTACCTATGGAAAAATTCTATAGCATTAGGGATGGGAATTTATACCCATTGGTTAAAGAATTTTTCAGTAGGTTTTCAGCAGGTTATGGGGGAAGACTTCGAAAAAGACTTTAAGAAAAGATATGCGAAGATTTGGCACAAAAATGAGGACAGTAACGTTTTAGAATTTATGCAACCGACTTTAATTACTTAGTTGAATAAGAGTTTGTTGTTGTTGTTTGAAGTCGATTGGAAACGGTACCCATAGAGAAATAATACGATCAGGTAAAATAAAGGGTGGATTTGTCAAAGAAGTGTTCTTGTTTGAAATAATCTGAGAGAGGAAGTGAAGAAAGAGAGAAATAGAATTAGAAAGGGGGGAATGGAGAAGCTAAACACGAACGGAAATAATGTGTCCAACTCCTCGAAATTGGTTTTGCTTCGTTCTTCCTCACCTTTAGGGTAATGTTAGACCAAAATTTTAAATCAAATATGCAAACCAAATGATATGTCACCTATAGAAAATATATATGTTAATCAATATTTAAATAATAATTCAATCATTAATAACCACATTATTTAGTTTGTAAATTTAGTCCCCCTCACTAGCATTATCCTCTCCCCAATACACTTTCAAAATTTCACTTTTTGCAAATAACTTATTAACTTCGCCGCATGCATTGTATGTGTCATTTTCAAAATGTAGTATGAAAAATACGGTAAGAATAACATTTCTCATTTATAAGTAAGTTGATTTTCAACTGTCCTCTATATTTTTCATCAAACCCCACTTTACCCCTTACATTCTATACTGTCTAGCTTTACCGTATACCACTTTACCCAATTATGTCAAACAAGTTAAAGAATTCGTGAATTGTACCAATGTATTATGGACAATGGTAATTGAACAATATTGAGTTAAGAAAAACATGATTAACTTGAACAATATTGAATTTGACAATAAGAATCGCAGTCAAAGGCATAAAAAGTAAATTCATCATCCAAGGTGGTGACATTTCTCAATGCAGAATACATCCCTTGTCAGAGAATGCTAATCAAGAAACTCATAGACTACAGTTTTATTCGCCCATGAAAACTAAAGTTTAAACGACCAAAACTAGAACCTTCAAAACTACAATAATATACCACATGCTCCTTATCAAAGCTTACTTCGAGACAAATCCTAAGAATACTGTTATTTTTATCCATTCCTGGCTCGTTTTGTGGGCTGAGCACCAGACTCGACACCATCTGGATCCTCGGGACATTCAGGTTCGTGTGCCTCCCTGCTTGCATCTTGTGAACCATCTTCTAAGGGGATGCTGATAGCTGTTTTATCATGCTGATGATTAGAGGTTTCTGGTTTATCCTCTCCAGGGGGAGGACATGCAATGTTTGATAGCGGAGTAGGGTGGTCATCCATAGTGGATGATCCGGACGTGACCCTGTTGTCTTTGATTTTTCTTTGTTGCTCAAAAATCTTCTCAAGGTACTTCCCTTGTTCTTCAATTTTCAACTGCAGCTTTCTTTGGTTCTGCAAAATTTAACCATAACATCAGAACGTGTGAAAACCCAATATCAACTCTTGTGTTTATGTTTCTGTGTCCACATTTCGACAGTAGTAGAGTCACTTGAGTACCATACCCAGTTACCGACAAGCAAAGTTTGTTACAAATTCTAAACAGAAAGTACAGAAGGCAATTCAAGTCTTCCAACTGCATACCTCAAGTTGTTCATGAAGCCGCTTCTGGAGTTCCACCTGCAACCGCAATGCTTCAGTAATACCCATGCTCCTGCAAGAGGTACACAAAAACTTTCAGCCTGATTTCAACTTAATGGCTCACAAGTAGATCATAGATAGATAGGTGAGTTACCATTTTAGCTCCAACAATGAGATTAAAAATGCATAAAATAAAGTTGGAAAGTTCCTCTAAGGACCATTAACGAAAAATGGCAAACTGTAACAACTAACAAGTAACTAGAACTGAATTTGGTCCTACAAGCAAACAGTTCGCCTCATAAATATTCAAAGTTCAATTGCTTAATGTATGAAACTTTTTCTGGGGATGCAGAAAATACATGAAACCTGATAACAAAGCATATCAAACTAGGGAAGATGAAAGAGGAAGAAAACAAAAGAGAGATGTATATTCTTCAATATTTTGGGTGAACGAAAAGTACGTACCCTTTCACATCTAGAGGATTTGTTTCTTCCACTGGAGTTGAAACTTTCTCGCATGGTCCTGACATAAAAATAAAATAGAATAATTCACTTATAATTCAAATGCTAAATTCTTTTAGAAATGGATGTCTACATACATAACACACACACATAGTGCATTTCTTTTTCCAAAAAGAGAGAATTATAAAGAAATAAGACGTATATTTCATACCATACCACAAAGACATAGGATATGAGGGGAAGAGAAATATATATTTGAAAGCGGTTTAACATTGCTAAGAGTTTGAAGTTAAACATGTAGCAGCACAGTTGTTATCAATCAGGAACGAAAACATTTTTATATATGAAATCTGGCAAACAATAGGTCTCAAAGATGTTTTCAAGCCAATCATCAGAGAAAAAATAAAAGAGAAGGTAATGTTTACCTTCTGATGACTCCGGTTTGTATCTTGCTGTTCTATATTTCTGAAATTAGAAGAAGAAAAAAAGAAAATAAAAGTCCATCGAAATGAATAAAACTAACCACACTTCGTTATAAGGAACCAATCGAGGATAGAAATATATTCATATACCTGTAAATGGCTTTTTACATGATAGATTGTCAATCCTTCAACTTTCATGAGGTTTACGATACCCTTAGGAGTGGCTCCTGTTTGTTAAAGGTATTAGTCAATGAGAAAAGAAGTCATTTCTCAACATGTGGGAACAAAGAGCTACAACAGTATGGCCAGAGAAAAAGTACGAAAGCATGTGTTACCCACGTTCATTACCACCAAGATGGTTAACAGCTTCCACAAAGGCCTCATGAAGTTCTTGAGTCCAACGCATTCTGGATTTGGTTGGAGGAACACTGGACAATGGTTCAGGACTAGGACGAAATTCTACAGCTTGTACCGACTGATGCTGTTGAATCTGGGGCTGATGTTGTTGAATCTGGGGATGATGTTGCTGAATCTGGAGCTGATATTGTTGTATCTGGGGAGGATGTTGTTGAACCTGGGGCCGCTGCACTTGGATATCAGAATATGGTTAATACATGTCATATTAAGGTCACAAAAACTGTTGACTGGACAAAAAATTATTCTCAATGGAGTCTCGAAAAGTAGAATATAATATCACGTATTATTCGCCTAAGAATACAAGAGCCATGATATTATAAAACTTGGCTCTATTGGGAATATTGACTGTAATTATCCAACAGAAACTTCAAAAGTATTAAAGACACACCGTCAGTTTAGGATCCATTGTATCAACATCAACCGGAAGCTCCCAATTTGGGTCCAGAGCGTCATCAAATGAAATTAATCGATCCCAATCAGACCAATTGGTCTTTCCAGCATGTTCCTCAGATGTTATGACACCGGCACTACTATCCACCAGGCCATTCTGGTCAGGGACACTTTCAGAAAAGTGAAGAAAACCCGGAAGTGAATCTGGGCACCAAGAAATATCTTTATTTTCTTCAGGGTAATTAATCAAAGCTGTCGGCTGCACTTCTAAATGGGGAGAATGGGAAGAATGGGAAGAACGGTGCAGTGACAATGACTTTCCGTCAACTGGTGATTTAAAAATGAAAGGAGAGTTTTGGGAACTCTGTTCACAAGGGGGAACTGAAGAAATATGAATATCATTGGGCCTAGAAGCTGATGGAAATAAGTTCCCAGGGGAAGAAGCCTGCAGTTGCATAGAGTATATACTCTTCTCCCGTTGTGATGAAACCTGAAAAGAATCCGGCAAATTGGTATACTTGTCGTCTAGGGGGACATGGAGACGCGGAAATGATGAAGACATAGCTTTGGAAGCCCCAAATTCACTCATCTGGTTCGCATCTGATTTTTAAATAAATAGAGCAGGGTGGATGCTCGTTATATTAAGTGTGCCAACTAGTGTCTTCTTAGCCACTCCCGCAACTTTAATCTTCATTGCCAACATTATAGGAACATCATGTGCACATAAGGAGAACTTTGAGCCCATTCAGCTTAATGTTCACATTCACTATCATTCGATGAACTGACTGCCGGTATCTGTAAGAATAAAATAACAAAAAGAAGGATTCTGGTTAAAGTACACAACATATCTGAAAAAACCATCTTGCATAAACTTCATGCCTAAAACTATAACACATAAACTACTTATTTAAGTATTCGCCATTGCAAGAACATTAAACTTTCTAGTGTTATCAATGCATTTCTATTTATAAAGCTAGAAAAATGGTCAGGTTATTATTCAAGGAAGTTTCATACAAAAGACAAAAACATTAGACAACAACAACAAAGCCTTTTCCCACTAAGTGGGGTCGGCTATATGAAAAGGACAAAAACATTAGACGGGAAGAAAAATAACGCACATCTCAGAATTTCAGGGTTTAATCCAGAGCAAGATGAAAAAAAAACCCCAACTGAGATTAGGAAAAAGGAGGAAATTGGTTACATCCATAGAAAAGAAAAACTAGGAACTTGCAACAAAGAGCAAAGGATAACTATCAACGAGGAATTACGAGTACACTCATGGAGCATCCAGAACACATATAGATTGTCAATAACCATTCTGAAATCTTCTACCTTGGCTTTCTTTTCTTATCTATTAAGTATTAACGACTCTTATAATTATTTTTTTTCAATTAATCTGATGAGCCTAACACAATTTCTCAAATAAACAAAATCCACCTAGCTACAGATTTCAATAACTTCATGAACTTCGCGGTCATCACAAAAACTGCTTATTATAATGTCTCGAACAAAAAACCAAAAGTTCTTGAAGGGAGAAGGCTGTAATTGAAGTACTAGTGTCCGGATACTAGGAATATCAGTACATCTTTTAACCAGATGAATTGGCACCGAGGATCAACTCATAGCGATATAACAATGAGTGTCATATGTCACCACAGATGGAGCGTTGACACATTAACAACACAAATTCCAGCACAATAACACACATCAACAGCACTCGTTTCTCTGTGCATGACGGTGAATATTCTAGGGAACTAAATGAACTCGACAATGCGAACACCACTGCAATTTTTTTACATAAGAAGCATATTGAAAATTATAGGAAGCACAAAGTTAATTCGCTCGCCCGCCCGCCTATATAACCGTCCTTATGCAGACACCATGTGTGAGTATTTTCTTGTATCAAACTGATGGGGGGGCAGATGCCTAGCCAAAAGTGGTGTAAACAAAAGTCAAGCCACAAAGGTTGAGCATCTGTAACAACTTAAGCCCCATATTTCCTATTTAATTACATATCAAATCATTAAAAGCAAAGCTAAGATTTTGCATGAGAGTTTGAAAAGCAAGCTGAAATTAACTTTTTCAGAAAGCTTTTGATATATCCAACCATCCAATCCAAATTCCAAACAATAAACTCCCACTTAGCATCGTAAACACATCACTAATCACAAATTAAATTATCAAATATGTGATCAAAATTACTGACATCCCAGCAGATTATACAACAAACCGAAGATTAGCAGCACACTAAATTCAGATTATTTCAAAGAATATGAACACTGGAATGGAGATATCAAACTATACAGAAAATACCATCTATAAATTTAATTTGCATGTTTTTTTTTTTTTAAAAGAAGGGAACTTCAAAGGGGATTTACCAATCTTACCCAAGAGTGAGAAAAACTGAGAACTGAACCCCAAAGGCTGGAACTTCGAATCAAAAGCCCAAAGCTTTGAGGTTTCCGCTCCAGAAAAAAGCACTAAGGAAAAAGCACTTCTGTGAAAGATTCTGGTGGACACAAAGATGGCTGTGTTCTCTCCTTCTTGACTTAGTCTCTCACAAGTCACAACACAAGTAGAATTCTCTCTCTCTCCCTCCCTCCCTCCCTCCCTCCTCACAAGAAAGAGAGAAGTGTTCGTCTTTGTTTTGTCTCTCTTCTTTCTTTTTGTGATGACTCGGAAAATTGATAAGCTGCCACCAGAGAATATTGATCATAGATTCTGGCCGTTGGATTTGGGTTTAATTATTATTAATTTGATGATTAATCAACAGTTGTGATTTGAGAAGAAGAATATATATATTGGTGGGGATCTACATGGCTGCCGCCTGCTATGCACACAAGGAGGGTGGGAACCATTTAAAAGTGGTCCCTCTTTGTCTTTTGACGTTATTTCCCATTTATTCTTGGGTCTACTTGCAAAATTTTTATCTTCTTTGGAAAGTAAATTTTTAAACAAAAAATATTATTTGTACTAAAAAATAAAAAATGGCAAAATCTCACGATTAGCTGGTAATAATGGTTCAAATTTACTTTTAACGGAAATCGAACCTAAGACATTTTACTTACAAATGAAGAAGAATATCTTTAAATTGTAGTACTAAATGATGAAAAGTAATTTTCTTAGTAAACGAAAGAAAAAGTAATTTTGCAAAATTAAAATGTGAGCTTTTTTTAATAAATTTATGGTTTATAGCTAAAAGGTAAAAAGATACCACCGTTGTAATTAGTGTGCTTATTCAAGAATGTAACGGTGTAAACCTAAAATAGAATTTCGAGAAGATTTAGAGATCAATTCTCATAAGCTTTGTATTATTTATAAAGCAAAAAAGACCACCATAATTGATATAAATAAAGTTACAAGGTTTGGAAACGCAATTCACATGCACTTGAGCCGTTCGCTCTCTTTTTGGCCGTCTGTCTCTCACCCACTCAGAAAGTTAGTCTTACAACAACCATAGGGTTTATCTAAATTTGGTCAATTACTTATTGCACCTTGATCACATGAATTGAGCTTTCTTTCCCCATAATATGGATCATTTTTCATGTTCATGTGACTTTTTTTTAACTAATCGAGCTTGATAAATATTTTTCTGTTGATAAACGATAAGATTAAACTACAAAAAGGAGGATTTGAACATTGAATCTCAGGTGCATGAGCAAAGATTCTTAACCAACTGAGTTACAAGTCACTTGCAAAATGTTTGTGTGACTCGCTTTGAAACCTTTTTTTTTAATTATTTTATTAAGGGGAGAGTACAAACTACTACAATAACTTAGGAGAATGAGAGTTTCGAAATCGGGACGCATATGTGAAAAATTAGGAGTTATGGTGGAAAAGAAAAAAAATTAAGGGAGTATGTTAGTGAGTTTAAATTGAAATTATCTATATATCTTTAGTTTTGAGAACAATCATTGAATCATCACTGCAATCAGGGCAATCAAGATTTAGCCAATTTACTCATTCATGATCTTCTAGACAGCTAGTCAAACATATTTTCATGAAGTAAGATTTAAATTGACAGATCAACAGTTCATTATTAATCACATTAATATTGTTCTAACTTGCATTCTACGACCTATTAGCACAATAGACATGAGGTTTTCTAGCAAAAAGAAATTGACATGAGGTTTTATCACAAAATATTATGATGTCATTATACATGCAAGATGAATCGTGGTTACAAAAATAATTATTGTGATAGTAAAGCACACTTAAGTTCAACGGGTGAAAACATTCGTTATACATTGTCACTTAATCTGTTAAATTTCCAATGTATGATTCTTGTTATCTTCAATGTAAAGGCCGCCAACACGGCAAATAAATTCTCATCATGCACTCAGCTACTTATATTTTTCTACACGAGTGCATGATGATTATTAATATTATATTATAACACCTAAGTTGATATCAATACTACATTCATATCGCACATAAATTAGTAACATCATATGATAGTGTTGAAAAGTAGAAAATACAAGCGATAACCACTGCGAGTCACTTGGAGTTTGTTGTGCTTAATTTTCATTTTCTTAATTATCTCTTTTCAAAATGCTTTGTTCTATATTAATTAATATTTACAATCACACAGAAAATTAAGTTCCTTGAACATAATTATTAGCTGAAGTGCTGAAAGAGAGAGAGGGAGAGAGAGAGAGAGAGATGGCAGTAGATCAGGGCCAGCAGCAGGCATCCAGTGAGTCCATGGCAACGGTGGCTGAGAAGGCTCCGATCACCGCGGAGAGGAAGGTCCGCAATGATTTGGAGACCAAGCTCCCCAAACCATGTATGTGTATATTATGGTCGTACAGTTTGCTTTTTACAATGATATTGATAGATTATTGATGATATATTCACAGTATATATTCTTTAGTAAAAAAAAATATACGTTCGTTCCATGGCCGAACTAGTGGTTTAAGTTTTACCTTTATGTTCTAGAAAAATTAGCGATAGTTTCACATGATCACATGCATAATAATGCATGAATCAACTGCTTAATTTTTATTTTTTTAATTAAATCCTGTTAATTTCAGACATGCCTAGGGCTATGATTGCGCCTGATATGGAGAACATCAATGGCACATCGGGCCATAAGCATTCCAACATGTCTGTGCTTCAACAGCATGCAGCTTTCTTCGACCAAGACAACGATGGCATAATCTACCCTTCTGAAACATTCAGAGGTAAATCAATTTTGAAGTTTTAGGGTTTTCGATTGTCATGTCACGTACAAAAATGGATCGTCTTACTTGAATCTGTTCTTGCAGGATTTCGCGCCCTCGGGTTTAATCCGGTTGCTTCCTTCCTTTTCATGGTTCTTGTCCATGCAGCTATGAGTTATGCTACTCTTCCTGTAAGTTTACCAGAGTTTGAACAGACAAGGCGAGATATTCTAATCTAGTCTAACTTATGAGACGGGATTCGAACTTGGGTGCAATGGTGCACGCAAGCACACTATCCTTACGCACATTTGCGGCAATATTTAACTTTTAACAGCCAACTATCTGCATTATCTGATTTATTTGTCACTAGAACTGCTAAATTTTTGTTTTCATTTTCTTCTTCTGCAGACATGGATACCGTCGCCTTTCTTCGCAATTCACATAAAGAACATACACATGGCAAAGCATGGAAGTGACTCAGGGACGTATGACACAGAGGGACGGTGAGAATACCTGCCCATAAACCTAAAGTCTCTCAGATGTGATTGTTCGATTCGAAACGTGTGGGTTATAGGTTATTTGAAGAATTATTTGTTCATGAGTCTTGATGTCATTATCTCCTCCAATAAAATGGGGAAACTACGTGTCACTAGACCGGATGATCATTACTGTCGGTACTATAACTACTTCAAACTTAATATATCTTTGATTTGCATGTATGCTGCAGGTACATTCCTGCAAATCTGGAGAACATGTTCAGCAAGTATGCCCGCACCGTGCCTGATAAGCTTTCATTCAAGGAGCTTTGGCACATGACTCAGGCTAACCGTGACGCCTTTGATTTCTTTGGCTGGTCGGTCCCTCTCTCTCTCTCTCTCTTTCTCTCAAGCACACACAAATACACGCGACAACATAACACGGAAGTGCAGTTCATTCATTTCCGTTACTGTTTGCAGGATTGCAAGTAAACTGGAATGGGGAGTTCTTTATGTTCTCGCAAAAGATGAAAACGGCTACTTGGCAAAGGAAGCTGTGAGACGCTGTTTCGATGGAAGCTTGTTCGAGTACTGTTCAAAGTTGCAGAAGGGCGCTGTTGGTAAGATGGGATGATGGGGAGCAAAGCAGAGGATCGAACGGTTCGCTAATGAGCTGTAGATTGCGTTTCGTATTCGTTTTTGAGAGCTTTCTTTTGGTCTGAGTTTCGATAGACTGATAAGTGATGATAGAAAGAGGCTTAAATAATGTGACTTTAAGGAGTTGAGTTGGATGAACAACTCCTAGACTTCTCAATTGTTCCAATTTCCAACTCAGTAAGAGCCTCTGATTTTTCCTACGCTTAAAACTGTTAACGTTAAAATTCTTTAGTCACAGCTAAACAAGAAGATTCTACTATACAACCCTAAGGATTTCCGGTCTCCTCTCTTATCAGCAGACCAGGTCACAATCACGTGATGAGTGATGAGAGAGATGTCACTATACCACTTCAACCGTAGGACATCTCTCACGAGGACTTACATGGCACTAGTTCACCGCCAAGATGGCATCCCGTGCCAATGAAATGAAGGACGTGAAAGTTTTGTGTGTAGGGTTTAGGGTTGAGATAAAGCATAACCACAATCAACTCAAACCAGTCTATTACACCTTAATGCACTAGTTCGATTTGGCAATGAAATCACGCAAAAATGGCGCAACCAAAATAGATCTATGACAAATCAAAAAGGGTCGGGAAGAAAAAGGAGAAAGAAATGGACTCAGACACGATAGTGAAAATTTAATATCCCGAAAACCAGCAAACATTTAAACGAAAGAGGATCCATTTCATAATCATAACAGAGTCTACATGGTAGTGAATTTAATATCCAGAAAACCAGCAAAAACATCCTAAAGACAGGAAAGTGAAGAACTTAAACGATGGCATTGGCAGCACTTGCAATTCTTGGCCACAGATCTGCGCATTCCTTTCCTATAGGTCCGGTGATTGCAGAACCTACAACAATACCAAGAAAATATGAGTTAGTATTCAGTATAATAAGTGCAAGTGAAATGAAGAATATTATTACGATGATGGTCCTACAATGTTAAAAGTTAACAACAGTAACGTCAGATGACGCAAATTCATTTCAGGCAGACAAGTATTTTCCAATCAGCTGAATCTAAGACAACATTACTTGGGACTTCAAGGCTACATAATCAATGAGTTTAATCAATAATGCATGCTCTGTAAAGCTCCAAAACCACAGAATAGTATATTATCGCATTGAAGTTATTAATAGGCGGATGTGTTATAGAATTGCTACGCACCCTTCATTTCTCCCTTCGGATTGACAATGACACCAGCATTATCTGCATCACAAGGACAATCATGGTCAGAAACCTTGAGAAGCAGAGCCATTTTCTCATCATAAGAGCAGATCTTAAACTTAAAGCACTCCGAGATACTTCAATTTTCAAGATGAGCTAAACTAATATACAACACATAATATTTACAACCTCTTCCTAAATTCTCTTATTGTCCGCACCAAAAATGGTCACCATATTGTCAAATTCATACGGAAATAAAACGCACCGTATGTTAACAAAAAGTAAATAATCAATCAGAGTAACCATCCTAAACAACCATTCAAATTCCAAAATCCCCAATTGCCCACAACTAGTCCACAAACAATATTAGCAAAAACAAGGTGGTGCAGGAGAACATGGAACTACAAAGTCTAACTACCAAATCAAATTAATTCTGGATCCCATCCCGAAAACTTCCACATTTGCTATAAGCATTCATTTCAATCTGACTCAAAACCAATCAAACACTTTTGCTTCCTCTAAACATGTTCATATCATGACAAAGGAACACAATGTATCCAATAAAAACACAATTAACAACCTTCAAATTACACGAAAACACCGTCCTTTCGGTTTTTTTTTTCTGTAAACATATTCATATGAACACAAGAGGTCGCACTTGGTGAGATGGCACTTGGTGAGATGGCAAGTGCCTTCGCCCATGAGCGGTAGGTCTCGGGTTCGAGACTTAGGAGCAACCTCTCCATAAATGGGGTAAGGCTGGCCGACATTCCCCTCTCCCAGACCCTGCGTAAAGCGGGCACTGGTACGACCTTTATATTCATATGAACACAAAGGAACATCATTTATCCAATTCAAACACAATTAACTACCTTCAAAGTACATGAAAACCCCATCCTTTCGGCGCCACGGCTTGCGCTGGCGGACAATGACGGCCGGCAAGACCTTCTTTCGGAGGTCAGGCTTGCCCTTCTTGACTGTAGCCATGACCATGTCACCAACACAAGCAGAAGGAAGGCGATTGAGGCGACCCTTGATTCCCTTCACAGAGATGATGTAAAGGTTCTTGGCACCGGTGTTGTCGGCGCAGTTCACGGTGGCGGCCACCGGCAGACCCAGCGACATCCGGAACTTGTTTCCGGCGGACCCTCCACGCCCTGCAATCCAAACGAATCGAAAATTAAACAAATTAATTAACTTTTAACATCGAACAAAAAAACCCATCAAGTTCTGATTGGTGGCTGAGAAAATTTTAGATCAGAAAGCAGGAAAGTTTGAATCTTTGAAAGACCCAGAAATATTAAAACGTGAGAGAGAGAGAGACCTCGTTTCGACATAGCTGCACCAGAGATGCTTCAGATCTCAAGAGTGAGAAGTGTGACAGTGGTTTTGGGCGCCGTAGGCTAAATATTAGTGAGGTTCTAGGGTTTTTCGTCTACACAACTTTTTTGCTATTATAATATTTTAAAACAAATTTTGAGAGGAAAAATATAGTATAATTATTGAAAATATTAAAATGTATTTTGATAAATTAATAGTTTTTTTTTATGTGAAAGTATTAAAAAGAAGTTGGTAAAATCAAATAATTAGAAATATTCAAGTCCGCACACTAATTTATCCTGGTTCAATTTATAAGAAGAAATATCAGTTGCTAGTTGGAGATATAGCTTGGATCTCGTGATCTTGTAATATTCTATTATATTTTTTTTTTCTTTCGGTCTTATGTTATGCCCATTGTCAACCAAAAAAAAAAAAAGAGTGAACAAGTATGGGCAGCAAGTTAACATTTTACAGTATTATTCATTATACCAACATTCTTTTAAATATTTATTCACAATCGTTATTTCCAAAATAACAAATTTTATACTCGGATTTATATATAGATGCGATTTTCACACTTGTTTTTGTATCTTCTTATACATCCATGTTTAATTCTGGCCGTTGATTTCATTTGATTTATTCAATTTGATGATCATAAATAAATAGGGATGTGTAAGAAGCTAAAAATAACGTGTGAAAATCATTTCCCTAATATATATCAAGGGGTGATTGATACATTAGTAAGACACTCGTCATTTACGGAATTTTAACCTATGACCTCTCATCATTTTTCAGTCAATTAGTTGATATTTTCGAGCAAGAAAAAAAAAAGTTGATATTTAAACTTATGAATGATAATTAGTTCCTCTAATTACATTGACCTACAAATCCTTATAGGGCATCAATGTCCCTTCATTTAGGACAGGGGAGAACACAACACCATTGTATAAAGACTTTTTCTTACCAAAACTGAAAAACATGAGGTCATTTTGATAGGAGCATATTTATGCGATTTAGTTAACTTGTTCTTGTGCATTTATGTTGTTATTTTTTAGTTAATTATGTATTTTAAACTATTTTCGTGTGTTTGTAGGTCCTAATAACAAAGTTGGCAAGAAAGTGCATTTTGGAGCATTTGGATCATTTTTTGGCCAAGATTGGATAGTGCAAGCATGGAGACATGAGGATGGACGTTTTTGAAGATTAGAAGGCTGGAAATCAGCATGTGTGTGTGCAAGTGTGTTGACCTACAACTACAAACATCATAGCTGCCATGTGATGGCAGAAAATATGTTGATTGCTAGCTGAAATGATGAAGAACATGTGTGTGTGCAAGTGTAATAGCTGGTACGTGTGGAAATAAAGATAGAAAATAGCACACACATATGCAAAGACAGAGAGACAACATTCATACACGGCATGGGCAGAAAGTGTGTAATTGCTAGCTGAAATGATGTTATGTGGAAATTATGATTACATGACAGCACACACATATGAAAAGTGAACTGAAACACATGGCAAAGAGTGCAGAAAATCAAGTTTGAAGGCACATGGACAGCTGCAAAGGGGTGTTATCCATCACATTTCCACCCATGCCGTGCACACCATTCTTGTCCACTTCATGCACTCATTTGCTGCACCATTCACTTCCTTTCCTTTGTCTATCATGTGCACAATATTCTTGTCCACTTCATTGAATCATTGCTGCACACACCACCATTTTCCCCTTCTTGCCGTGCACTTCCTCTATATAAGGAAGTGTGTGTGGCAGCCATATAGTTCAATTTTTGCTTGATTGTTCATGCCCATTTCAATACAACCTTCATCCATAAACATCAATTCATTCTCTCAAGCACTTTCATTTCCCTTTCCTTGTCGTGACCTCCATCCAACCTAAACACATTCAACAATTCCCTTCCATATATCTTTTACACATCCTTAGACACTTAAGCCGCAACAAGGTGGTGAAAAAGAAGGTCATTGGCATTTCAAGCTTGAAGATTTGAGCGTTTTAGGTGTAACTCGTTCTTTATTTACTATGTTTAAATTCATTATCTTTCATTTTGTTGTGAACATGAGTGGCTAAACCCATCTTAGCTAGGGGTGATTTCAAAGCCATGATTATGTGTGCAATATGATTTGATAAATTCCAGTTATGAACTCTTGAATCGTGAATGCAATTGGCTTAACTATTTGATTGATAACTTATTTGTATTTGTTGATTAAGGGTCAACACTTAATTGGCATGCATAAATCCGATGCTAAAATATAAGAAAGTTTCACATAATCGTTACAAACTTATATTCATAAGTAGTGGATGTCGCTTATAAACGATCGCGTTAAGTTTAATTCTAGCATGAGTGACATGATGTCATAATTTTCATTAAACGTAATGATCTTTGATTGTATCTCTATTATGATGTAATGTAGGGAACTTTTGAAGAATGTTTTGGGTTGTCGAATGATGTCATCAAATCCAATAAAACAAGGAAAATCTGAGGGTTAACTAGTGATGTCACAGTTAATTTGGGGCATTATCGTTCGTAATTCAATGAAGTAGTAACTGGAAATCGAGTTGTTTGCATACATGTCATGTGTGGAGAAAAAGTCTCTAGCTATCCCATCCATTATCTTATTTCTCAAATTCATTTTACAATCTGTCTAGTTTTCATACTTATTTGTTTGTTTCAACTTCATCCAAATCAAAACCCCCCTTTTAGTTTCTTATTTCAAAGTGTTTCAAATCTGTTTTGTTTGTGTTTTTTATTGTTTTAGGTGAAGCCAAAACCCAATTTTCGTTCAAAGTTGTGTTTAGAGTCAGAAACTACCCAATAAGTGTTTTTAGGCAGTTTTGAGTGTTTTTAAGTTGTTTTAAGTCTTTTGAACCTGTTTTGAGTCCCTTGAGTCTATTCAAACGTTTTTAGTTTTGTTTTTATGTTTTTGAGTCAGTTTAGAGGTTATTAGCAAGCCCTCCTAATCCCCGGTCCAGAACGATCCCTACTTGTACATATACTACAATTGTCAAAAGAGGGTTTAATTTGTGTGTTAAGTTAATTTTCGCATCACATTTCTCAACGTTAAATGAGAGCAAATAAGAGAAACAAAAAAGTAAAAGTAAGTCAGTTAGTACTACGATCTAGTGGTATCTCTCTTTACTTATAAGTAAGAGATTCTTACTGCAGATAATATCGTTTGTTCAAAAAAGTAAAAAGAAAAAACCTAAATAATATCATCCGGTGTTTAAAACACTGCTTCTACTACAGCTTCTACAAAAGTTCGTCTCCAACGTTCTGCTTACATTTTCCTCCTCCAACACAAAATTCCCCAGTTTCGGAGCTCGGAAGGAAGCACTGCCATACTAGAATGATCAGCTGCTGGTTCTCGGTACCAGTGACAGTCATCATCCGCTATCCCAACACCAATCTTTTCCCTGCACATTAAAACAGCAATAATCACCAGCAACGAAGAGGGTTTGAAGTAGATAAACTTGAAGTTTTCGTAACTGGAGGGCGGAGCATAATCTGCAACATTGACCCTTTTCGTTTCACATTCAAATTCATTCATCTTCTATACTTCTTGTAGGGCATCCCAATCTTGGTTTCAGTTCATAGTCTACTGAAAATATTGTAATGTGCGAGCAGTGCCATTGAAAAACCGTAAACAAAGTGAAATATCGCTCATCCCTTGTAGAACATGACATCTACAAACCAAGCACCCTACTTAAAACTATATCGGATATATAGCTGGATTTCCGCGAAATCTATTTCAGTAGAGCATTTGATGTTTGTGGCGTGTGGACCGCGTAGAATAAAAATAAGCTTTGAATGCCTTTCTAAGATGTGTAGTATTAGTTTACCTCTGCGTTCTTTCCGTCCGTTCTGTTTCTTTCCCCGGCAAGCTACACTACCACAATTACACGAAAACGCCTCTATAGGGTGTCCATGATCATCAAAGTCAATACCATAATCCTGCAAAAGGATTTTCCTCATCATTTTGTGAACACAAACTTATTAATATATGGAAACAGAAACATCGACCATAGAAGATAAATTATAGCAAACATATAACAGTAGGCAAGCGTTCACTCACCCACGACAGCTCTTCAAATGCATTCACTTTCCTGGTAGTAAAAAAGGCAAGCTGCAGACGCACAAAGAAGGTACTGAGAGAAGCTCTTTCGCACGGTGTATAATTACAGTGTGTGTATGTGTGTGTGAGCGTTGACATAGAAAGCAACCCAACCCATACGTGATAGTAGTGACGGTCAGGAGTCTCCACTTGAACTGGGATATCAATCAAGTTTGCATCAGAGCATCTGGAATCACGAGAATATTTAAACAAACACAAGTTCAATACAGGCAGACGATTCGCAAGCATAGCTATTGATTAAAAACTTCAGATTTAGATGATCTTTGTTGAGATCAATGAATATGACAATTGTTCTTAATAGTTTATAAGATGCAAGAAGTTCCACTAGTTTTTTTAACTCGGTAGGAATTAGTGGTGAACTTTCTGACAACTTATGCTAAGATTCGTCAACTCTAAGTCGTAGCACCAAAATGGCAAGCGTACTAAGGGTTAAAAATGCAGGTACATGTACAATTTATAAAGACGTGCAAATGGCAAAGGTGACCTGCTTAGCGTAAGACAAAGATAAAGCAATGAACAGTCACCAAAATATACATAAACCAAAATGCACACGGATTGAAGTATTACCTATGATTGATAAATCTGGCAACATTACCATGAGATGTTGCATCAAGACAAAGGGCATCATCATCCTTCAAAATTTGCTCTGAGCCCCAATCTCCGTCTAGCAATACGGGGTAGGTATGTCTCTTAGCTCCACTGCTTTGGTTATTTCTCTCGTATAATTCGGTGTTGGTCAGTATCTCCCCAACATATTCACAGACAAATGTTCCCTTCTGCAAGACCTCTAATGTCCTAACACCCCAGCCCTTCCCTTCAGGAGTCACGAATACCTGAAGCATATCAGAACAAGAAATGCTCACTGACTACTTGCGAATTAACGATCTTCAAATGGCATATTTGTAAAGATGAAATTTGGGAGAGCTACTAGTGCTCATTGTTCCATGGATGCTTCAAGAAGAAACTACAAGATTAAAATAGCACAAAAATAAAGAAACAAAAATTATGTTGAAACATTATGCAGCTTCTATTAGTAAATTCCTTTAGAATATACAGACAGTAATAGTTTCGACACCTAACAGCCAAAAAGCATCTATTTACTATACTTCTTCGAACTTAGATGCAATGTGAAGGTAATGAAACTCATATTAGTTTTGGTATGACAGTTCAAAGTCCAAAAAGGAAGTTCCTAATGGAAGATACAAAGTGCAACTAACCTGTAACTTGTAAGAAATGCCCCTTTGCACTACCCGATTTCCACACGACAAGTCACATCCACATTTTCTCCAGCATTCTTTTATAAACTTCCTGATGTGGTGACCTTTGCATTTTTCAGGGTAGTACTCGTTCTTGGACCTCTCATTTGGACAGTCTTGACAATAAACAAAGTTGTGCTCTTCCGGTTCCTTGACACAAGCTGCTAAAAAATCTTCTTTTAGGAGGCCTTGTGGTGTGTAAACAAACTCCCCACCAGTTTCACGAGCACATGCACATGGTATTGCCGCTGAAAGACAATCTCCAGAGCAGTCAGTGCAGCAATCTTCATCTGAAATCCGAGCTAGTGAGATATTCACATTTGCATTTTGGTAGATAATATTGTTTGGTATATAATTGAACTTTGGCAGGCACTCATTTCCAGTTTCATCTACCAATGATATTTTCACTTTCTCCATAGATTTCGTAATGTCATGGAAAAAATTGACTGGCTTCCTGCCCTCATGAGTGATGGGACAGCTTGAATCCACACCATTTAAATCAGCTTGTGAATGTTCTGTTCCACATTGCCGATTCTTCGGTCTTGAAACATGGTTACCCCCACAAGTGAGGTCACAAGCACTTCTACCCACTTCAGTAGAGGATGATCCAGAGTTACCCCCAGTTGAACCTCGAGACAAATCTGGAAGAGCTAGACAACATGATTATAGGTAGTCAGGATAAGAAAGTAATCATATTTATGGAGGCCCCGTTAACTGACTAGAACCTTTGGATTCTGTTGTCAAGGTATCTAGGATTGGAATGAGTTGGATAATCTTGGATAACCCTCAATGTATGTTGAAGGAAAACATATATGCCAACTTCCAAAATTTGTAAGGTCGAAGATGAATTAGTCATGAACGAAATTATCACTCTCAATCCTACTATTTTGGGGGGATTGGGAAGAGAATCATGATAAGTTTCCATAATACCTAATTCAACTCCTATCATTAACATTGACAATTTGGAAGTAAGCACTTATTTCTTCATTCAACATACGTTGAATCTAGTGAGTTATCCAATACAATCCTTGACACGAAATGAGGCCTAAGGGAATGGATTCTGACCATCTTGTAACAGATAACAATAATATCATGCAGTGGGAAGAAAAGAAGTACCTGGACGTCTCACCGGTACTGCACATTCGAAAGAAGATGAAATGCTATCTGTGCCTTCCTCTGTTTTTGGAATCACCAAGTCTTTCTTGTGATTACGAATTGAAATTTTTCTATCTCCAGAGACCAAATGAGGTGCAATTGGTTTCTTTCCTCTGTCATTGGGCTGTTTGAGGGGGTGTTGAGAACTACATCCAGCTCTGCCATTGGTTAAACACTGTTTGGGTGACTCCATGGTTCTGCTTCCATGATCTTGGTCCACAGCAGCTCTGCCATTGGCCAAATGCAGCCTTTTTCCTGGTCTTTCATACCCATCAAGCTCTGTAGCAGCTTCTCTTTTCTCTTCTTTTCCCTATTCCAAAGCAGAAAAGATTAAAGGCAAGAACTAGTACAAACTCATCTCCAATGCACCTGAAAATTGGACTCAAATGTTTTAGTTCGGTCCAAATGTAACATTTGTCCTCCCCAAAACACCGGAATGTTAAAACTCATATATAGCTATTGAGTCAAATCAAACGTTATATTCCGGTTTAAATGTAACTCTCGGGTTTGTGAAGCTCACTCCAACAAGAAAAGATGTTATTCAACAAGAAGGATAAGATTTGAATTGTAACGTCAACCATCTCCATTACACATACCAAATTTGTTTAAACTCAAATTTGAGTTTCGACTCCAATGTTTTTCCTTTTACGCACGTAGCAAAGTGTTAAAAACCAAACCCACCACCACTTTTGACCCTAAATGTAAATACATAGGTTAAGCGTTTTGAGTCCATTTGTTCCCAATTTAAACTGTCACAAGTGTGTGTGTGAATAACTACAACAACAAATAATAGGTATTACCTTGTTTTCCTTAGACTCAAAGTATGCATCTATAAGAGTCCTGTAGTTGTCTTCTTCTATAAGCTCCCACTTTTTATCATACATTCGCAGCAAACCCTTCAGGACCGGTTTGATCTCTGCATCAGGAATCCCCAAGGCCCTCGTCACACGAAACGCGTTTACAACTTTCGGGTTACCAGACATGGCCAATGCAGAAGTTTGATGAACAAGCAATCTCCCAAATCAGAGCCCTCTTGCTCTTTAGGTGCTAGTTCCACAGAACCAAAGTGCCACTGCAATACAGAAGTTTTTACCAAGCAATCATTTTAATTTGGCAAATCATCTTCATCAAATCACTAACAAAAACGACTCATAAATTAAAGATTAAGAAATAACACAGAAGGCTTCAAAAAGAAGAGAAATTAATCACTTTCTATACAATATAATTCGAGTTAAACAAGTTTATCATGTCAAAATTAGGTTGTTCACATTCTAAATGTTAACTTGACCATTTTTTAAGCGCATTAACGAATCATATCATATTCGTATTTGTATTCAGCAACGTTGGACACCTATAGTAACGAGTCATATCATATTCGTGCTTCCATCAAGCAACATACAGCGTGAACCCGCTAACTCCATATCGGATTCAACACATGCAAAAACAAGTGGTTGACCAAAAAATTGCAAATTACAAGTGAAACCCCACATACCCCACAAAAATAACATGACCCACAAATACTGGATAGTTTAGTCCCCTACTAACCTGCAATCCCATTAATCCATAAACCACTCGTACCGAAAAAAATCAATTCTAATATAATATAATGTAATACTGCACGGATTTCAATATCTTTTTTGCTTTTCGGCATCAGTGGTTCTGTTTGGCTGCCAAGAAAATGCGAGAATTCCCAAAGCTTCCTCCTTTTTTTCTCCCACTTACCAAATAGCGATCACAGGCAGCTCAAAATCAAAACCCACTAAACGAAAAATAAAAAAGATCTGTTTGGATGCCGAGAAAATGTAGGAGTAAATAGAAAAACCGAAGCTTTTCCTCTTCCTCCTCAGCCACAAACTTTCCACCATCCAAACAACAAGTAGAAGCAGAAAAAAAAAAATCTGATTACTATAACGCATTGTACGGAATAAACCATCAAATTTCCAGATATAAAATAAAAAAATAATAAAAAGCTGAAAATTCATAGTTTTAGGGTGTGACAGCAAACAAATTTCAGAGAAGGGCTCCACCTGCCGTCATTGTGCAGAGCAAAGCAGGACGGAAGAAAATAATCGAGTCCGGGGGTCTCCGTCCAGTCCACTCCAGTAGAGCCCCGTCGGAGTATCTCCTGAGCCGGCGTTCAGGGCTATGATTTAGACCGGTCCTTCTGTTGAAGACGGCTTGAGGGAATATTTTTGCTCACCATTCTCAAGTTGTTGCTCAACATCTCATTTATCACCGTTAGATAGGGTTAAATTTCGAGATCTGTACAGTAGACAAATCTCAAAAATTTTAAAGGAAAATAACGAAAAATCTAAAAAAACTTTAGTTTTAATGAAAAATGACAAATAAAAATGTAATGAATAGAAATTCAAAAAGTAAAAATGTGATTTTTCGTTAAAAGTGAACAGAAACAAAAGTATTTTGTTACAACTTCCGAATTTTAAATATCCAATATTTTTATTTATTGGCATTACAATAACTTAATGTAATGAGCAAAAAATGCACTCCGGCAAGATGTGTGCTATTGCTTGATTAAGGCCCCACCACAACATACAGATGTTACTTAGCACTATCATCTATTACATTCTTCTAATTTTTTAACTGAAAGATTTTAGATTTACTTTTTATAAATAAGGAATTCGATATTAAATTAATAATTTTCGTCCAAGCCGTTAAAATTTTTTTGATAAATTTGATCAATTGAATCCAAAAAAGTGTGCAAATAGAAGTAAAAATTAGAGATAAAGAACAAAGTAACGAATCTCGAAGAGCTGAATAAATAGAAAATATTGAATTTAGGTTTAGGAAGAATTTGGAAGATTAACGGAAAGATTTTTTAGTGTGATCGGCACATGAGGTGGTACACCACGTGTTACTATACAAATGATGGGATATATGTGTTAAAAAATTAATAACTTCAAAAATAAAATTTCTTATCACTTACATAAAAACACGTGACATATCATTCGTATTCTTGTCACAATAAAAAAAAATTCGATTAACGAAGTATTTGTGTGGCCCTAACCCCTAAGCAAGTGTAGTGCTTTTTTCGAGAGTCGTGAGCAATTATTGGAAAGATAATTTACTTAATCAAGTAGCACGATGCGCGGGTTGCAATCAAATCTAACATGAAAATTACGTTGGTTGTTTTTTTTTTTTTTTTGTGGTAAAAAAATTACTTTGGTTGTTTAACCAAGATTTTAAGCAAGTTTAACCGAAAATCGAATCTGGCCTGTAGAAGAACAAGTGTAGTGCACTTTAAGAGGTCTTCCAATAAGTATCCATAATAACCACAAGCTAGTGGTCTAGTAGTAAATGATGGATTACGATGTTTTCTTCAAATTAAAAACTAGAGATCTCGAGTTTGAAACTCGTTGCTGGTGTGGATGCCAAATTTGTTGTCACATCCCAAACCAACTCCGTCGTAGCACAATATTGTCCGTTTTGGATCTCGGCCACGCCCTCACGGTTTTGTTTTTTGTAACTCACACGAAAACTTCTTAGTGGGTCACTCATCCTGAAAATGCTCTCGCTCGAACTCGCTTAACTTCGAAATTCCAATGAAACCCAAAGCCAGTGAGTTCCCAAAAGACCTCGTGCTATAGGCAGGGGAGCACATATAAGGCACATCACTCCCTCTCCGTTGGTCGATGTTGGATCTTACACTTGTGATCAGAGAAAGCTAAAACGTTTATGTGAGTCTTTCCACTCCTAAAAGCGATGGATAACCGTGACTTACCAGTTATTCTTTAAAAAAAAAAAAAGTATCCATAATTAGCCAAAAAGCGAGATATATATGATTAAAGTAGTGTAACACTGCATTACAATCAAAATGACACGAAAACTACAATGATTGGTTAACCCAGATAAGAGAATCTGGCCTTTTAAAGTAACTGTAATGCACTTTTAGAGGGCCGCCAATAATTACCCATAAAGTAAGACCTACATGATCAAGTAATGTAACCTATTTGTTACAAATCAAAATGATATGAGGACTAGATCGATTGATTCTCCAAAATTTTATACAATTTCAGTTTCTTTCTTCTTTTTTTTTTTTAAATTTCGAGTACCCTAGAGTTTTGGATGGCAACGAGGTGGATCGGATTCAGATGTGTCATTCTCATACTTGAATCTAAAACTATAGAATCGTTCTAACAAGTTTTTTTTGTGATCGAATCCGTCGAATAACGAATTTTCCAAGTAATGATGTTCCCCATTAGAGCAAGTCCAGCCTTGGACAGTGCTCGGGGACAGGGGAGAGGAAAGGGCCCGAGGCCTGGTGGACAACCCTCCAGCCTTGGAGAGCCCGAGTGAGGGTGGGAGCCCGAGCACAAGGGGGTGGGGAATTGACAGGCCTGCAACCCGAGGGCCAGGCATTTTTTTATTTTTTTTTGTGTCAGCCCGAGGGCCTACAGCCCCATTTCCATGTTTTTTTTATTTTGTATTGTCAGGGGGGGAGGACTCCAAGGATGGAGATGCAAAAGGTAATTATTGTTCATTAATGACAGTTACTATTCATTAAAGACAGTTACTGTTCAATATGGTGAATTCAATAGTGGATTGTCAGGGGGAGGGCTCCAAGGGTGGAGTTGCTCTTATGATATATTTATTTATATTATTAATTAAATAGTGAATTTTAGATAAAAATAAAATTAAATAGACTGCTGATACAATGCATATAATTAACATAATAAATAATATTAAATAGTGCAGTAGAGCCCCGTCGGAGTATCTCCTGAGCCGGCGTTCAGGGCTATGATTTAGACCGGTCCTTCTGTTGAAGACGGCTTGAGGGAATATTTTTGCTCACCATTCTCAAGTTGTTGCTCAACATCTCATTTATCACCGTTAGATAAAGTTAAATTTCGAGATATGTACAGTAGACAAATCTCAAATTTTTAAAGGAAAATAACGAAAAGTCTAAAAAAACTTTAGTTTTAATGAAAAATGACAAATAAAAATGTAATAAATAGAAATTCAAAAAGTAAAAATGTGATTTTTCGTTAAAAGTGAACAGAAACAAAAGTATTTTGTTACAACTTCCGAATTTTAAATATCCAATATTTTTATTTATGGGCATTACAATAACTTAATGTAATGAGCAAAAATTGCACTCCGGCAAGATGTGTGCTATTGCTTGATTAAGGCCCCACCACAACATACAGATGTTACTTAGCACTATCCTCTATTACATTCTTCTAATTTTTTAACTGAAAGATTTTAGATTTACTTTTTATAAATAAGGAATTCGATATTAAATTAATAATTTTCGTCCAAGCCGTTAAATTTTTTTTGATAAATTTGATCAATTGAATCCAAAAAAGTGTGCAAATAGAAGTAAAAATTAGAAATAAAGAACAAAGTAACGAATCTCGACGAGCTGAATAAATAGAAAATATTGAATTTAGGTTTAGGAAGAATTTGGAAGATTAACGGAAAGATTTTTTAGTGTGATCGGCACATGAGGTGGTACACCACATGTTACTATACAAATGATAGGATATATGTGTTAAAAAATTAATAACTTCAAAAATAAAATTTCTTATCACTTACATAAAAACACATGACATATCATTCGTATTCTTGTCACAATAAAAAAAATTTCGATTAACGAAGTATTTGTGTGGCCCTAACCCCTAAGCAAGTGTAGTGTTTTTTCGAGAGTCGTGACCAATTATTGGAAAGATAATTTACTTAATCAAGTAGCACGATGCGCGGGTTGCAATCAAATCTAACATGAAAATTACGTTGGTTGTTTTTTTTTTTTTGTGGTAAAAAAATTACTTTGGTTGTTTAACCAAGATTTTAAGCAAGTTTAACCGAAAATCGAATCTGGCCTGTAGAAGAACAAGTGTAGTGCACTTTAAGAGGTCTTCCAATAAGTATCCATAATAACCATAAGCTAGTGGTCTAGTAGTAAATGATGGATTACGATGTTTTCTTCAAATTAAAAACTAGAGATCTCGAGTTTGAAACTCATTGCTGGTGTGGATGCCAAACTTGTTGTCACATCCCAAACCAACTCCGTCGTAGCACAATATTGTCCGTTTTGGATCTCGGCCACGCCCTCACGGTTTTGTTTTTTGTAACTCACACGAAAACTTCTTAGTGGGTCACTCATCCTGAAAATGCTCTCACTCGAACTCGCTTAACTTCGAAATTCCAATGAAACCCAAAGCCAGTGAGTTCCCAAAATACCTCGTGCTATAGGCAGGGGAGCACATATAAGGCACATCACTCCCTCTCCGTTGGTCGATGTTGGATCTTACACTTGTGATCAGAGAAAGCTAAAACGTTTATGTGAGTCTTTCCATTCCTAAAAGCAATGGATAACCGTGACTTACCAGTTATTCTTTAAAAAAAAAAAGTATCCATAATTAGCCAAAAAGTGAGATATATATGATTAAAGTAGTGTAACACTGTATTACAATCAAAATGACACGAAAACTACAATGATTGGTTAACCCAGATAAGAGAATCTGGTCGTTTAAAGTAACTGTAATGCACTTTTAGAGGGCCGCCAATAATTACCCATAAAGTAAGACCTACATGATCAAGTAATGTAACCTATTCGTTACAAATCAAAATGATATGAGGACTAGATCGATTGATTCTCCAAAATTTTATACAATTTCAGTTTCTTTCTTCTTCTTTTTTTTTAAATTTCGAGTACCCTAGAGTTTTGGATGGCAACAAGGTGGATCGGATTCAGATGTGTCATTCTCATACTTGAATCTAAAACTATAGAATCGTTATAACAAGTTTTTTGTGTGATCGAATCCGTCGAATAACGAATTTTCAAAGTAATGATGGTCCCCATTAGAGCAAGTCCAGCCTTGGACAGTGCTCGGGGACAGGGGAGAGAAAAGGGCCCGAGGCCTAGTGGACAACCCTCCAGCCTTGGAGAGCCCGAGTGAGGGTGGGAGCCCGAGCACAAGGGGGTGGGGAATTGACAGGCCTGCAACCCGAGGGCCAGGCATTTTTTTATTTTTTTTTGTGTCAGCCCGAGGGCCTACAGCCCCATTTCCATGTTTTTTTTATTTTGTATTGTCAGGGGGAGGGCTCCAAGGATGGAGATGCAAAAGGTAATTACTGTTCATTAATGACAGTTACTATTCATTAAAGGCAGTTACTGTTCAATATGGTGAATTCAATAGTGGATTGTCAGGGAGAGGGCTCCAAGGGTGGAGTTGCTCTTATGATATATTTATTTATATTATTAATTAAATAGTGAATTTAGATAAAAATAAAATTAAATAGATTGCTGATACAATGCATATAATTAACATAATAAATAATATTAAATAGTGCATTATTAATACAAATGATGCAATGTATATAATAAATAATATTTAAAACGAAATTATTAATATTCAAATAATGCATTATTAATACAAGTGAATGAGAATCCCGGGGATCCTTACATTATGTCCGTCCATCGTACATCGTACTGTTAGTTTTTGTGAGGTACTGTTTATATTTAATTTTAAATAGTAAAAATTTTAAATGATTTATGACCACACGATGTACGATAAATAAATACAATGTGAGGATCTCTGGGATCCTCATAAAGAGGATCCGAAGCATTCAATACAACTCATACAAATGCACGTACATATAATAAATGATTATTGATAGTTTGTTTCTCCATATAATAAATGTTTATATTTTTGTTTATTAAAAATGAAAATGGTTCGGTCTCGGGGAGGGGTTCGGGGTAAATACCCCAATAACCGTAACCGAAGTTGAAATAAAAAACTTTACCCCACATTTCCTATAACCCTAAAGTACTCGAAATTTAATTCCCGCCATCGAACCATTCGAATCAACTACTTGTAGGATTATATTTGACGAGTTATATTGTCATCCCTAATTGGAGTAAAATCCCAGAGCTTAAGCATGACATTGGTAATGTCAAGCCAATTAACTAGGATAAGTGTCATAGCCCATATTTCTAAAAGATGCGACTTTATGGGACCATCATAAACTCAATCTCAAATATATATTGTCTCATTCAAAAAAACTTTAGGACTCGTTTGATGGGTTGTATGAGATTGGTTCTTAAGAATAAGATTTAATTGGCAACGATTAGTTAGGAATGACTTGCAATATGTGTATATGAATAGGTTAGATAATCCACACATTCACTATATTATCTGATTTACCCGACCACCATAATGGATGTGTCTACCCCTTTATATAGGCATTTCCTTCTTGAGGTCTCATAAACTGCCACTTGTACTAGCTTACTGACAACTTTCCACCTATTCGGACAGACCTTCATCGACGAAGATGTTTTAGCAATCAGATGGCGCGTCTTTTAAGGTTTAGGTGGTCCGATTGTCTTGCTCAAACCTCGGTTACTATGCATGTCGTCGTACAGTTGAGTAGTTATGTGCTTGGAGACTTATGCCATAAAGCTGTCAGCTCGTTCACATATTCACTTGGTTGGGTAGTTTTTCGTCTCAGTTGAACTAAGTACTCAGGTTGGTCCTCTTATAACCCATTGGGCCTTGTGATTATTGGTCTTTCCTTGGGCTTATGTCGTTGCATAGACCTAATGGGCCTAGCGTTAGCAGGATTCATAACCATCATGTTTTGGTCATGTCTATCTCACATTTTGATACAACAAACAATGGATTGGACTCAAGTTTATTTTAAGGGAACTTTAACGAAAAGCACCTGGTACTGTTCACTTTAACGAAAAACCACATTTTTACACTAAAAAGTCAATCCTGGTACTATTCACTTTATCCTTTATTTTGTCCTTATCATTAAAACTCAAAGTTTTTAAGCCATTTTCATTAGTTTTTCTTTATTTTAATTGGTCACAACCTATCCCAACCAACCCACCAAATATGCTATTAGGGCCCGTTTGGTTTGCCTGATTGGATTAAACCTTAGGGATAAGATTGAATTGGCAGGGATTGGTTAGGCATGACTTGTAACCCATGTATACGAGTCTTGTCTGCCTCACATTTTAGCACAACAAACAGCAAATTGGATTAGAGTTCATTTTAAATGGTTACAACCTATCCTAACTGGCCTACCAAATAGGCCCTTATGATTCACTCACCTACCGAATGAGCTCTAATAATTATACTAGATAACATCATTTAGCTCACTCTCTCATCCTGTTAGTGTAAATAATATCGTTTGTTAAAAAAAAAAACTATACATATTGGTATATTTTATTTAATTTTTTAGAAGATACATGTATGTTGAAATTGAAAAAAAATAGTTACATTGTTGAAATCCATAAAAATAAACATTTACAATTCAGTAGTTGAAATTGAAAAGAATCCTATTCAATCTCCCCAATCACAAACGTAAAAGTTGAAAAAAAAATAAAAATTGAAAAGGAGGACGGTTGTTTGTTTGTTTTTCACATCACACCCTCTATTCCTCTCTAATTCTAAAACGCACCAACAATAATTTTCTCCATCCAAACGACCCAATGTTCTTCCAATTCATCAACTCCAAAATAACTACAAATCTTAATTTCATTTTAAAAAGGAGATCCAATAAAACCAGTGTCGTTTTTTACCTCATCAACCCCCCCCAAGAAATTTGGAAAACGTGAAACGGTGGCGTTTTGTAACGTTGACCTACCGTATGTACGAGTCGTCGTCGAAAGTTAAATCGGACGGGCTGAGGTGCACTTTCCCGCTCTTCTTGTTAATCTTCGGTTTGCTCCCGCAAGAGATCGAAATCTCGCAACCCAACGCGAAGCAGGAGAACAATCCTTTGCCACTGCTGCGGCTCCGCCGCGTCTTCTGACTGCTGGGACGGCGGTGGGACGATTGGAGTGGCTTCTGAATATGGGAACTCTTTGCGTTGTTCTTGGCGCAGTCGTACACCGGCGGCAGCTCCGTCCGCCACCGTTCTATCTTGGTCTTTAACCCTTCCACGCTGTCCTGGTCCGCCCACTCGTCCAGCAACGAGCTCCCGGCATCATCGGGCGACGGCGCGCGGGCTCCTGTGTACGGCAACGGGTAGATTCCCTTGGCGATTGCGGCCGCAACCACAGAGGGCGAAGGACCGACGTCAGAGCAGAGGGACCCGTTCACGTTACCTTTCTTTTGCCCTGTGCTGAGCTCAGATCCGTTCACGATCGAGCTATTGCAAAAGGAGGCTTGAGTTTTGGGCTTGTAGGCGGCGGCATTGCAGGTGGAGTTCGACGGCCTGATTTTTGTGACGCCATCGCAGATGGAGGATGCGGGCCTGGATTTCGAGAATCCAGAATCGCTGCCGGTCCGATCGCTCTGAGATCGTTGGAAGATGACGAATTTGTCTTGATCCTTGGAGTTGAGGCCGCTGCTCTTCTGGTTACCGGTTTTTCCCTCCATCAGATCCCAGTACCCGACGGCGGAGGAGCTGAGCTCGCTGTAGAGCGGCATGCTCCGCATTGTGCTGTCGAGGAGGCCGAGCCCGATGTTCAGAATCCCCTGCGGGCGGCCGGATGGGCGGCGGAGCTGGATCGCCATGAACCGCATCTTGGACTTGTTCTGCAAATTGTTCACCACCACGGCGGCGGTTCCGATCAGGACGTCTCGGAGCCATGCGGAGGCGTAGATCTCGATCATGATCTTCGACGTGTCGTGGCGGAGGAAGTCGTCGTCAACTCGGAAGACGAACTTCTCGTTCCACGTCGGGTTGGTGTGGCCGGTCTGGTCGAAACGCGTCGTCAGCTTCCGCTTGGGGTTGACCCACGCGACGGCGAACGTCCGCATCGCCTTCGACGCCGGCGTCAGGTCCTGCGCCGAGATCAGGTTGATCTCCAGCAGCTGGAAGGAGGAGCCGAACGGCCGTGGCATGATTTGTAATTAACTCGGAAAACTTAATTACTTAATTTCTTAAATTCTTAATTAAATAATTGCTGCAGCAATCACAGTAATTAAATAAAGTAATTGTTGCAGGCAGCTAATTAACAAAAAGAAAATAAGGCAAATTTGTGAATGGAATTGGGTTTGGATTTATGTATTTGTCTCCTGGATTAATTCATGTACGTACTCGTACGGACCGTAACGATAACCCGACTAACTAACCGACTGACGGTCGCTACGGCCGGCCGCCGGAGACGCGTAATCTACTAGGGAAGAGAAGGATGTGCTGCCGTGAGGAATGGTTTGTGGAGATTTGAGGGTTTTTATTGAAGGCTTTTTGCCAGGAAAGTTTGTTACACTTGAATGGTTTTTACAACCGTAATTTTTCTTAACAAATCTAAAATTGTAAAAATTTACACACATCAAGCGGGATAAAAACAAAGTAAATAGTGAAATAAACAGATTAATTATTTATTTATTTTTACTAAGAATAAAATGTGCATAGTTATATTTACTATTTATCTGTTATTTACTTTTTACTTTTTACTTTGTCCGATGACGACGGGGCCAGCTTTCTCTTCGTTGACCACCTTCAAATTAAGAGGTAAATTAGAAGCTTCCTAATACCTCAACACCGAATAATTCTATTGACTTTGTTAATTTAGTTTACATATATAAACATATAGTTACAAGTGCTTGAAAGTACATTACTATTTGGAAACTGATCAACCACTCTCAACCATGATGAATCAACGTCAGTTCGATCGCACTAATGTCATTAATTTATAATATGTGGATTTATTTTATTGTAATCCCACCATGTAATAACACATATGTTGTCAATGATGGATGGAAATATTTTTTGACGAAATAGCAGGTAAATTGGCATTTTATTGAGCCTTGGTAGGCGTAATGTTATTTGCCCAAGTCATATTGTACACTTATCGACATATGTCAAGAGCTTCAGAGAGAGTATGTCGACTGATGTCAATAGTTTTTGAGTGAGCACGCAAACATATGCTAACCTATGCAGTGAGCCTATTGACATATGCCCATAGCAATGCATACAAATGCATGAGGCTAGCAGCTACCCAGCCAGTGTTCATAAAAGCAATTTGTCGAGCAGTTGAAGAGTAGCTTTTAAGGTCATCTCATATTTTCAAAGGGCAACACCTAAATCTTCCATAGAGAATTTATGAGCTTGATAGGGACAGCTGACCCATGTCACCTTGCTCAAGATGGATCTGCCCATGTACATAGCTTAGTAATGCCATACAATTGATGGTATGACCGTTATCGGATGGTTCTTGCCTAAAGAACATTAATATTATATGAGAGCTTCATACTTCTTGTTTTACATTATATTATCCGATAACTATTATTGACACTTTTAAAAAGTTATTCCGCCTTATTTGAACTTATAAAGTGTAATTTCTCTTGTATACTTTGATCAAAGCAAATGATCTTTGTTCATGTAACTTACGCAAACTTTACATAATTAATTCTACAACAAGACACCTAACTATATATGTTTTTCTTTGCTGCTGATTTGAAAAACTTGTAACCTCTCTGGTGAAGAAATTCACAAGTCTTCACCAACGTTAGACAGAAGTGGGCAGGAAAAAAACGCTAAATCTCAACTTCCCATATCCCAAAACACAAAAAGAAAACCAACAAATTGAAAAGTGCAATCTCATTGCACTGCTGATCTTAAAACCCTAATGGATTCAACTTTTCTCCGTTTTGCATCGCTACTACTTCTACTTTCTCTCGCATCATCTGCAAACCCTAATTCCGACTACAACAGTTTGGTATACAAGAAATGTGCAAATCAAACATTTACAACTCTCTCAACTAAATCGCAAGTCCAGCAACAAACCCTTTCATCTTTTTTTCAACAACTAGCATCACACTCCTCCCAATCAAAGTTCTATAAGCACGCCGAAGCCAGCGGAGACAACAACGAGGCGGGTATTTCCGGCCTCTTCCAGTGCCGGCAGGATATCAGCAACGAGGAGTGTCACACCTGCGTGAAAACTCTTCGTAACTTATCAAACGCCTTGTGTAAAGAGTCGGTTTCGGCTCGTGTTCAGCTGCATGGGTGCTACGTGCACTACGAGCTCGATGGAGTCGACTCAATCCCTTCTAGCCATAGATTAATGCAGAAGACTTGTGGGAAGGATTTGGCAAATGGGGTGGCGGCAGGGTTTGAGAAAATGAGAGCTGCGGCGTTTGCTGCCTTGGAGAGCGGCGTTGCGGACGGTGGTGGGTTTTGCCAAACGAGTTATGAGGCGGTGCAAGTTATGGCTCAGTGTGTCGGGGGCTTGGGGGGTTGCGCGTGTGGAGAGTGTGTGAGTAGGGCGGTACAAACTGCTGAAGAGGAATGTGGTGGTGCTGTTTCTGGGCAGATTTATTTGGAGGAGTGCTTCTTGAGCTATAGTTATCATCCAGATGGGATACCTGAAGATGACCACCCACATGATCGAGGTGAGTTTTTTTTTTTTTTTGTCAAATGATATATTTTGTTAGATTAAATGTTAGAATAGTCACCGACGAAGTTTAAACCCACACTATTATGCAAGCACTAAATACCTTTATACCATTGTGGTATACGACCACTTGCATGATCCAAGTGATTGAATTTGAGAATTATTTTTCATATTTTAATAAGTTTTTAATTGGTTAGTATTTTTCATACTCTCCTAAACTTTTTCTTTTGTTAATGTTTTTTTATGATTTATATTCAGTCCAAAAACTAGAAAAAAAAAGGAGTAACGACAAAAAAAAAAGTGCGGAAATTACAATTTTTTTTACACTATGTTTGGATAAGGGAAATAAATTTGAAATTTGGTTAAAAGTCATAATTTATAAATTCAATTTTACCAATTCTTTTGTTTGGATTAATAAACATAGAAATTTTAGAATTTCCGACTGTAAAAAAAAAACTTGGAATTTGGGATCTTCAATTCCCAAGTTTAAATTCCATGTAAATAGGTGTTGTTTCCTAATTTCTATGATTGAGATTTTAAAAATAACAAATTTCGTATTCAATTCAATTGTTCTTATAGGTTAACCAAACAAGAAAATTCACAAATTCTAAAAAATAAAATCTCATCATTTCAATTTGCATCATTTTAAAATTTATTAGTAATCTTAAATTTCTTCATCCAAATATAGTGTTAAGTGATGGGAAATGTTTTATTTTTAAACATAATAATGCTATTTACACACTCATTTTTAACTTTCGCACACCTTTATTAATTTTTTGTCATTTATCTTATTCAATTCATTCGATCCGACAACTAAAAATTAAGAAAGTGTGAGAAGTGGGTGTGTAGATAGCATCACCCTTTAGATAATTACGTAAATTATCATGCATTTCTACCTTTTTCACATGAAAATGCACGATTAACTTGAGATTACGTCACAACGAAACTCTTGATACATATATAATTATAAACTTAATTGTTAATTTAATGTTCCCAATTAATTGTTTTTATTTGCAGAAAACAAAGGCGGAGGAAATGGAGGAAATGGGAAAAAGGTGGCAATTGTTGTGGGAGGAGCAGCTGCTTTGGTTTTTGCCTTCATTTTTCTCTTGTTTGTCAGGTCTTGGTCAAAGAAAGAAGATGATGACTGAAGTAAAATTGGTCCAATTGGATCGACCCGATTTTAGACATTTATGATTTGGGCCGGGTTGCTTAAATTGGTCCAATTGGATCTTCTTTTTCGACCCGATTTCAGACATTTACTATATTTAGGTTTTTTTAAGCTTTTGTTTTTTTGGTTTTTTTTTCAACAGAAAATATATTGCCATTATTTCACTTGGATGACGGACTCATTGTAAAAATACTGCAAACGCTTTTGGTTGGTCTACAAAATAGTGCATGTATGACTTGTATATAAATATAATGTTTGTTTATTTTTATTAGCGGAGTAAGAGAGACTCAAACTTACGACCTTGTTTATTATCGAAAAGAGAAATACTTGTAGATTAGAAGTTTGTTGGTATATGACGAGAATTTGACAATAAAAGCAATGAAGAATTTACAGTTATTGAATATTTTTGAATATTGAAAGACTTAACACTACTAATCAATATCTTGGAGCATTTGAGAGTCATTTTATTAAAAAGCAATGTTCTGTTATAAAATGAATTTGTCTGCTCTAAACATTAATAAGTACTTTGAATCTTAAACCATGAAAACAATAAAATTCTTGCTCAATAAAGTAAATGTTGACGTGGATCCTTAAGATATGATTTTATTTCAACGTAATTTTGTATTTAGAAAAAAATTGTTGCTAATTATATTTTATAAGTTTCATAAATTTTTATTTTATCGTAAGTGCGATGATAGTGTGGTTTTTTTTTTGTTAAAATATATAAAAAAACTCGAGAGTAGTGACTTTTAATTTTTCAAAGTTACCAATACAAGTACAAATTAACCAAATAATCCTCACTTTAAAAACATCTCCAATAGTTTTTGTTAAACTTTTGCTAGTTTAGAGGGTGAACAGTGTCAAAAAATTTACACGAATCAATGGTTGACATTAAACACAAAATCGAAAACCCTAGATCTTGAAATTACACAAAATTTGGGGGACCAAAAGAGAAACAAATAGCCACCTGCCTTCTTCCAATATTTTTTTTTCCGTTTTTTTTTGGGGAAATCAACCATTTCTTTCCTCCCCGTTCAATTCGATTCAAACAGATTCAAACATCAGACACAGTACTACATAGTACACGGGGCATATTCTGCTCTGCACACACAGAAGAGAGAGAGAGAGAGAGCGTGGGCTTTCTTCCCCTTCCGGTAAGTTGCTTAAGGTTCACTGCTTTTTCTTCCTTTTCTTCTTGTTTTTGTTGGGTGCTGTCTGCTGTGAACGCAGAGGGGCTTGGTTTTCTGGAAGCAGCACGAAACTTTGATCGTTTGGCTATTTGGGGAAGATAGAAATGTGGTGTTTTGGTTTGCCCAAATGAAAAGTTTTGGTTTTTATGCAAGTTGGAATGTGGGTTTTACTTTGTTGAATCGAAAATCGTCTCGAAAACTTTGATTCTTATTAACCAATTATCCCATAAGGGTAAATCAATTTAATGAAATCGTAAAGGATGAAGTTTTGGTATGAACTCATATGCCTTGGAGATTTATGTGTTTTCAATTTGAGAGTTGGATTAGAATTGCACCAGTTCTCAGCACTCAGCTTATTAAATTGGTTATAATGGTGATGTTATCATTTGGGTTTGTTTTTAATTTCGTGATCGGAGGGTAGGCCGGTTTTAGGTGAGAGCCACTCAGCATTACGAAGTATTAAGTGAGCTGTATTTTGGCCTTCTTATGTACTTGTTTTGAGGCTTGCTTATGAGTTTTATGTGCATTGGTCTTGTTGGGCAGTACAATGGAGGAAAGCCATGACCAAATGGAGGAAAACGGCGAGCAAGTGGAGGAAAGCCACGAGCAAGTGGAAAATATTGGGAGTGCTTCTAGTGGCAGTGATAGTGATTCTTTTATAGATGATTCAGAAGTTGATGAAGTATCGATATCCGGAGAAGATGAAAAATTGAAGCCAGAGGCAAGTCCTCACTCATGATAGTTTTTTATTAGTCGTAATATATTTTCTCAAGGAAGCTATGAACCAATTAGATACTGTTGTCGCATTCTACTGCTATTATATAATATTTGGAACTTAAAGCCTTTTTAAAAAAATTTTATTTCCAAAAGTATGACGATTTGATCTTTGTTATGCAGGAACCATTATCTGATAAAGAAATAGAGGAGCTCATTGCTGAATTTTTGGAGGTTGAGAGTAAGGTATCTATTTTTTCTTTACACACAAATACATATTTATATATGTTTTATGTGCAAGCTGCTTAATTTGTTGGTTTTTTCTTTGACGCTCAATATAGGCTGCCGAGGCTCAAGAGGCACTTGAGAAAGAGTCTCTTGCCAAAGTGGAGAGTGAAGTTAGAAAGGAGTTGGCACAAACTCTTCATGGGGACAATGTTAGTTTCTTCCTCCAAATTCTCCCTTCTGGATTACATTGTCTTTATCAATCATTTATGCATTTTTTTCTTGTCTATAGTTGGAAGCAGCTGTTGCAGAAGAAATGGATACTTTGATAGAAGAGTGGCAAGCTGAGCTTGATGAACTTGAGACTGAGAGTGCTCATTTGTTGGTCTGCTTCTTTCTTCAACCTGAGTAAATCTTTGGTTCCTAATGCATTGTTTAGGGCTCGCATGTATTTTGAATATGATATGATAAATTTATACCGAAAATATAAATCAGGAGAGAGAAAGATTTGCTTCTTCTTGTGACTTATACAAGTTGGACACGAATTTGGCTAATCACCCCTCATTTGGTTATGAGTTCTGTATTTATACTGACGAAAACTCCAAATGATTAGATGATTGGGATTTTAGCACACCTGTCATTTGTTATTGTGGACATTCCATGCAACCTCTTTGTTTATTTATGTTTATTAAAATATGGTTGCAAGTAAAATATATTGCGCCTTTTGAATTAATCAGGTTGCCAAGGGATTGTAACCGCCTTCTTTCTGTAATTCTTTTGCCTTTTTGATAGTATCATATAAACAAGTGAAGTGTATTTTTATTTTCTGACCTCTTTTATTATATGCTTCTGTAAATAGGAACAACTTGATGGGGCTGGCATTGAGCTACCGAGCCTTTATAAGTGCATTGAAAGTCAGGCTCCTAATGGTTGCTGCACTGAAGCTTGGAAAAGACGGATACACTGGATAGGGTCTCAAGAGACTGGAGAATTTACCAAGTCAAGGGCTGATGCGGAGCAGTATCTCCAAACCCACAGACCTGTGAGAAGGTACAGTTCTTTCCTTTAAGCATTATTGATTCTGCACGGTATGAAGTTGATGGTACATGATTCTGTTTTTGTGGACTTAGGCGACACGGTAAACTATTGGAGGATGGCGCTAGTGGATTTCTGCAGAAAAAACTAGCCATAGATGGAAGCAAGGATGCTGTGACAGCTGATGTTGATTACTGGGGTTCTTTCAACAAATTATTTTCTGATGGTGCAACTGCGGGTGATGCCTTGTTTGGCAGTAAGCACTGGGCTTCTGTTTATTTGGCCAGTACGCCACAGCAAGCTGCTGAGATGGGACTTAAGTTCCCTGGGGTTGATGAGGTAGAGGAGATTGATGATATTGATGGCAATTCTGGTGATCCATTTGTTGCAGCCGCTGTTGCAAACGAAAGAGAACTGGATCTCACTGAAGAACAAAAGAAAAATTATAGGAAGGTATGGTTGTGCTGTCCCAACGTCATATTTAAATATATTTTCATGTTACAATTACACACTAAAGAATTTGGCTACATTTACTTATTTTGTTTTCAGTTTGCATGTAACTTTTGTGATAAAATAAAATTTGTTTTCTTATATAAATGGGGGTAAGGCTAGCCGACATTCACCTCTCCCAGACCCTGCGTAAAGCGGGAGCCTTGTGCACTGGGTACGACCTACGACCTAATATAAAACTACAAATTAACGTGGAAAGGACTGTAACAGTGTAAGTCATATTAGTCGGGGGATATTTAAGGCTTTTTCACTACTGTCTGGGGTTGTAGACATTCATATAGAAATCCTCTAATAAACCCTCCGTTGGTTTTTCAGTCTCTGTATAAACGTGCAATATTTGCTTGAATATTATGCAGTCTTACTTGTTGGACCTAACATTGTGGTTACTGGTATTTGATTAGATGTCTTTCTGTCTAATCATCTGATGGCTATCTTCTTGTTGCTTGCAAACTTTTTTTGGGTACAATGTTGCTTACAAATTGATTCACCTTTTTAGTATAGGAATATGTCAATATGTTTATTTACTTTTTTCACCAGTTGATAATTAATCCTAGTTGCTATTATATTTAACATAGACACATGTTCTTTTTAACACCCAGTTGAGTTTTACTTAAGTTGATAGTATTTCTGTACTTTTTCATTGAAAGGTCAAAGAAGAAGATGATGTAAATGTTGATCGGAAGCTTCAAATTCGTTTGAAACGGAGGAGACATCGAAAGAGAAGTAAACAGGTATCATGTGCTTGCATTGCCCTTTATTTCGCTCCTCAAATTTCAAGTTGCAGTTTATATAACTTATTAGAGTTTATCCTTGTGCTATTGCAGTTTGAGACAAGTTGTACACGACCAGTACAATTTGTGTTCTTGTAATTAACTCTATTTAAGACATCCTATGGCTTTTCATTTATGGAGCCCTGCTATATTTTATTTCAATTTGTAATTGTTGGGAATTGAACTAATAAGAGAGAACTGGCAGTCATATTATAGTAGACTTACTTTAATACGAATACAACAACAACAAAGCCTTTTCCCACTAAGTGGGGTCGGCTTACTTTAATACGAATAAAGGAACAAAAAGTAACGGTCTCTTTGATGGTTTTAAGTGTCAGGGTATTTGTTATGTCTTGGTTTCCCCCCTTTTTGTAGCTTCAAGTTCATCAGGGCCTTTTCTGTAGAAGTTCCGATTCATGAATGTGTCCAACATTTAGGCATACATTTAACATTCATTAATATCGATGTGTTTTTACTGTTATCTAATTAGGATGTTGTCAGGAAGAAGTTTGTCTAGTTGAATCAGGACGTGGATATGTTGTGCATTTCTCCATAAATTTAACATTCATTGATATTGTTTTATTTTTTATCAAATCAGGATGCTGGCCGGAAAGATTTTTGCTTAGTTGATCAGGAGATAGGAAGCAACATGGACCTGTCTTCGTCTATGCTTGACTCTTCTATCAGTATCTCAAATGGGAAAATTGATCAAGATCTGGAAACCGCTAATAACATTGACCAAGAAAGCATAACGAGTAATGGTTCTTCTCCAGTGACTAGTTCCAGTGAAGCAAGAGGCTCAAAGCGTCTGAGTGAGGATGAGGAGCTAAACATTGATAATAAGAGGAGTCGAACTGTGATTATAGATAGCGATGATGACACTCCACTGAAAGATAATTCAGACTGCAATGCGATAAAATCTGAGGACCAGTCATATGTGGAAGAGAATATCTGCATAGCTGCCACCGGTGGTCTCCCTTCACAGAGTCTGAATGATAAGCTCTACTGCACTGCTTGTAGTAAGCATGCTGTTGAAGTGTGCTCACATCCACTTCTGAAGGTGATTATTTGTGCAGATTGCAGATGCTTATTGGAAAAAAGGATGCAGGTAAAGGTATGGCCATGAGTAACCTTTATGGTTTCTGTAATCTTTATTCAAATATTTTGTGTAACGTTTCATGATAGTGCAGGTAATTAAATGAATTGGCCATGAACAGATATTTTCAGTTAGAAGTATTCTGCATCTCTATTTATCATATTAATGAATTATAGTGTTACATGATTTTTTTCTGCATCATTTAATGCTAATACTTCATTTATTTATTTCAAGTAATGCTAGATCTTTTATTGACCTAAGAAGGTGTGCAGGATCCTGATTGCTCCGAGTGTTATTGTGGGTGGTGTGGACAAAGCAAGGACCTAGTAAATTGTAAATCTTGCAAGACATTGGTTTGTGCGACTTGTATAAAGAGGAATATTGGAGAGGAATGCTTATCTGATGCCCAGACCTCTGGCTGGCAATGTTGTTTCTGTTGCCCAAGTCTTCTAAAGACATTGACATCACAATTAGAGCAAGCAATAAGTTCTCAGGATTTGATAGTATCTAGCTCTGATAGTGATTCAGATAGTTCAGATTCAGATAGATGTTGCCATAAGGTATATTTAGTATACTGCTCTCTCTCTCTCTCTCTCTCTCATTGCTGAGGCATGTAGCTATTGAATAGGAAGTGGTGAACTTTATTCTTTAGCATTAGATACTTTCGGTTTACTCAGGTTGTTGTGTTTCTGAACATATTTTGTCTTTGTGTCAGTTCTAAGAGGAGGAGAAAGAAGAAAATTCGAAGGATCATTGATGATACTGAATTAGGAGAAGAAACCAGAAGGAAAATTGCAATTGAAAAGGTACCATCTAGTGCTGATTTTGTAATCTAAAAAAGATGTTCTGGTACCAGAAATTTTTTCATAAATTTTTCTTCTGTAGGAACGTCAAGAACGCTTGATGTCTTTGCAAGTACAATTTTCTGCCAAATCTAAGATGAAGAGCTTTGCAACTTGTAACGGGAGATTACCCGAAGGTGCCAGTGCTGAAGTGCTGGGTGATGCATCAGCTGGTTATATAGTGAATGTTGTGAGGGAAAAAGGTGAAGAAGCAGTTAGAATTCCTCCAAGCATCTCAGCGAAATTGAAGGCTCATCAGGTTTGCTTGATCTGTTAACTATTTGTTTGTTGGATTTTCTTCTACGAATTCCCTTGTGCTATGTTTGGATTAGGAACTGTCAAGCTGATGTTATGACTGTTTCTTATCTGTTATTTTCAGCTATTGAAAAACTGGCAGTATATTGTTTACCTAGTGTCATGTCAGGACACATTTGATAAGATTTCCACGGCTCACCCTTTTCACTTGAAGTTCATTGTCATGTTCTGTTAAACCTATTGTTGTTTCACATGTTTATCTAATTTGACCTCCTTCACTGAGGGCACTAAGCATCTTCTGTTATTGCTTTATGTGTCATTAACTTTTAATGATTTAGTGCTGTTATCTTGTCATTGTTACAACTTGTAGCATGAAGTAAAGGTCTGATTCATTATTACAGATCACGGGTGTGAGATTTATATGGGAGAATATCATACAGTCAGTCAGAAAAGTGAAGGCTGGGGATAAGGGTCTTGGTTGCATTCTAGCTCACATGATGGGCCTTGGTAAAACTTTCCAGGTAGTATTCTGTCTCTTGAAAACTCTTCCCAAGAACTTTGAGTGTTTATTTAGATGTGCTGGATTCGTTTTGAAATAGGTGTCAGTGCATGTGGAATGACCCTGCAGCCTAGTCGAATAGCAATCGTGCAAAATGCAAGGCGGTTTCTTATATTGTTTTGCAGGTCTTTTAAGTAGTTGATTGATATACTTTGCATAACTTGTCAATTTGCTTTCGCAGGTCATAGCTTTTCTGTACACTGCAATGAGAAGTATTGATTTGGGATTAAATACTGCACTTATTGTCACCCCTGTGAATGTGCTGCACAATTGGCGTCAAGAGTTCATGAAGTGGAGGCCTTCAGAACTGAAGCCCCTTCGCATCTTCATGCTAGAAGATGTGTCAAGGTTTGGTTAAATATTTCTATATTGTCTTATTCCATTTTCATCACTAGAAAACATTTGGTCTAATAGATCGTTGAAGAAATGCCAATGACCTAAGATAATGGCATTACGAAGTGAAGTTGTTCTTTTGACGGCTGTCTTCCATTCATTACATAGACTAATTGTAGCTCATTATAGCTCCGATTGGGGAGATGGTGACACCAAGATGCTGACCTGTTTCTCCCTTGTTTGTCAGGGATAGAAGAGCAGAATTGCTTGCAAAGTGGAGAAGGAAGGGTGGTGTTTTTTTAATTGGCTACTCGGCTTTTAGAAACTTATCCTTTGGAAAGAATGTGAAGGATAGGCAGATAGCTACAGAAATTTGTCATGCCTTGCAGGTTGGTTGATGTTAATTGTTAACCTCTATATTTGTCTTTAACGTCATGCTTTTCAACTATGCATTACAATGTGAATTATTTCTTCTTCAATTTGTTGGACTTAAACCAAACTTTTAGGATTAATCTTATTCTTGTCTAGTTGCTACATAGGTTGCTCTGGTGTAAGTTATGAAATAACTTATTTCGTAAGCTGTTAAACAAATAATGTCATTAGCACACGTCGATACTTTAGCATGATCCAATCGATTTTTTTTTAAATCTTCTTTCCTATTGTTACATTTCCAACTGTCAGGATGGAACGGATATACTTGTTTGTGATGAGGCCCATGTTATTAAGAATACCAGGGCCGATGTAACCCAAGCCTTAAAACAAGTGAAATGCCAGAGAAGGATAGCATTAACTGGATCACCACTTCAGAACAATCTCATGGAATATTACTGTGTGAGTTACTCAAAAGCTATTCATTTTGCTATTTCTTACGCACCTACCTACTGCCTTGATTCATTTGAAATTTTAATCTTTTACAGATGGTTGATTTTGTAAGGGAAGGTTTTCTTGGAAGCAGCCATGAGTTTCGGAATCGGTAAAACTTCATCATTTTAACCCTGTTTTCTGTCTAATTTCTTTTTGTTGTTTTCATGTATCTTAAAATTGCCTCCCGTTGCATGCAGATTCCAAAATCCCATAGAGTATGGTCAACATACTAATTCAACTGTGGATGATGTGAAAATCATGAACCAACGGTCTCATATTCTTTATGAGGAGTTGAAAGGATTTGTTCAGAGAATGGACATGAATGTGGTAAAGAAGGACTTACCACCAAAAACTGTGTTTGTAATAGCTGTGAAACTTTCAACCTTACAGAGGAAATTATACAAGAGATTTCTTGTTGCCCACGGATTCACCAAGGACAAGGATTATAATGAAAAGATAGGGAAGAGAAGTTTTTTTGCCGGCTACCAAGCCTTAGCTCAGGTATATCTTAGCACACTTGTTAAGTTCTCAACTTCCATTATTCATTATAGACTTATGGTAACATGCACTCACTCACGCACACATGCATGCATGCATGATCGCAAAAGCATCTAGTCCTACGCTAAGGGATCCACTCCTAAGCATTTCGTTAACCTTTATTGACATTATATGTAATGATAATGATTGTCTTCTAGTCTATTGTGCGTCTATCTCTGTCTTTCATGAGAGTTGTAATATATGAGCTTTATGTTGGTAGTAGATATGGAACCATCCAGGGATCTTGCAACTAAGAAAAGATGACAAAGACTATGAGAGACGTGGAGATGCTGTTGAGAATTTTCTTGCAGATGACAGCTCTAGTGACGAAAACATTGATTATAATTTGGGTTTTGGAGGTATTATACAATGTCAATTTGGGTGAAAGCATATTCACGTGTTTGGCAGCAGTTTCTTATAAGTATCTAACAAGGGTAACATATCGTGCTTTGCAGAGAAAAATGTGAATGAGATTTTGCCAGGAAAAAAAGATGACATTTTTCGAAAGGTATGGATTTGAACAAACTATAATGTTGGCTTGTATTCATTTTTCACTTCTTTACTATTTCTTTTACAGTCTATTTGGCTTAATTTGAAATGCTCCGTTGTTTGTATTTTAGTAGGAAAACTAATAAGAATAAAGGCTTTACTTTGTAGTTTGTGTTACTATTGTTGTTTTCGTGGAGCGAAATGCTGACCAGTGACCATTTATCACTCTTCAGGATTGGTGGAATGATCTTCTTCATGAAAATGACTATAAAGAGCTTGATTACAGTGGCAAAATGGTACTCCTGCTTGACATTCTAGCTACGAGTTCTGATGTGGGGGATAAGGCATTGGTATTTAGCCAGAGCATACCAACCCTTGACCTCATCGAACTTTATCTTTCAAGGCTACCTCGACATGGGAACAAAGGGAAGTTTTGGAAGAAAGGAAAAGATTGGTACAGGTTGGTACATATTATCATGAACAATTTACAGTTTGACAGACAGCTTAGATTTTCTTCTCAGCTTCGGTGTTGCCCCAAACCATATATCCTTTTTCTGACTCTATTTCCTGCATATGTAGCTGCAGTGTCTTCTGTATAAAAGTTTTTATTTGGGTTACGTTGTTTTTAATAGATTCTTTTATTGCTTCAGGCTAGATGGGAGAACAGAGGGCTCAGAAAGGCAAAAGCTGGTTGAACGCTTTAATGATCCCCTGAATAAGAGGGTGAAATGTGTTATAATTTCCACCAGAGCTGGATCGTTAGGGATAAATCTCTATGCTGCTAATCGTGTAATAATAGTTGATGGTTCTTGGAATCCAACATACGATCTTCAGGCTATATATCGTGCTTGGAGGTGAGCTTCAATTCTGTTGCAGTCCTTAACTCAGCTTTTATGTAGAAAATGTGCCTTGATAAGTGTAGTTTATGGGCTATATAGCATTGGGGAGGGTTTGTTTTTAGAATTGCCATACAACTTCGAATGTGCCAGGCAGCAAGCCTGACGATTATTCCTCCTTTACCAAGCCAACTCTCCATTCTCCGGTATGGCACGTTGTAAGTGATATGTTATTCCATTTTCAGGTATGGCCAAACAAAGCCAGTGTTTGCTTACAGATTGATGGCACATGGAACTATGGAAGAAAAAATTTATAAGCGTCAGGTAACGAAGGAGGGCCTGGCTGCAAGGGTTGTTGATCGACAACAGGTACATAGGACAATATCTAAGGAAGAGATGTTGCATCTTTTTGAATTTGGTGATGATGAGAATCATGTGCTTGACCAAGATAGCGTATTCTTGAACGACAATGTGACTGGTAAAGTGGAAATTTTGCCGAAACACGTAGTGCCTCTTTCTCAAGGAAGTTGCTTTTCTGACAAGCTCATGGAAAGTTTACTTGGCAAGCATTCTCCAAGGTACATTCCCGTTCTATGTTCTCATTTTCTTTAGCATCTGTCGGTAATGGTAATTGCCGGTTACTCTGCCGCAATTGGCAACTCATACCTCCCTCCCTCCGTCCGCTTACGTATGAACTACCTTGTTTTCAGGTGGATCGCAAATTTCCACGAACATGAGACCCTTTTACAAGAGAACGAAGAAGAAAAGCTCACAAAGGAGGAGCAAGACATGGCTTGGGAAGTATACCGGAAATCATTTGGATGGGAGGAAGTGCAGAGAGTTCCTCTCAATGAATCTGCAGTCGACCAAAAACCAGCTGTATCAAATACTGCCTCATCTGCACCAACGAAGAGCATCCTTGCTGAATCCACGGCGAAGAATGCTTTTGTACAGCGGAAGTGCACTAATCTTTCGCATTTGCTGACGCTAAGAAGTCAGGGCACGAAACAGGGTTGCACCACCGTGTGTGGGGAATGTGGCCGCGAGCTGAGCTGGGAGGAGCACAGTCGAGATAGCAGGCTCAGGTAAACGATATTTCCTTCCGATTTGTTCTCGTAGTTTAGTCCGATGTAGAGTTCCGATTGTATATTGCGTTTGCTGTGAGTTCATTGAGTTCATTGCCAAAGAAACAGGCTTGTGTAAATCAAAGCTACAACAAGGAAATGAGCAATCAAAATCTTGGAAGTTTTTCCCTTCCATGAATTTGTTGTGATTTTTTCTCAATTAATTAATTAATGTGTAATTATTCTGCACACATTTCTTTATTTGTCCATGCTCTTTTGTTTAATTCAATGCAAAGGCGAGAAAAAGAAAGCACGGAGGAGAAAATTGAATTTTTTGAGGATGTAAAAAGAAAAGAGAAAAACAAAATACGTCGTGAATTTTCTAATTCGTAAAAAATTTGTAGCGAATTTAGCCAATTTGATCACCGTGTTTCATAATCTTTACAATATCGGTTTCTTTCCAATCTGTCCGATTTCGGAGTAACATATAAACTTCAGCAGCGTTTAATGCCATTTGTTGCAACTCGTTTGACATGGAAATTGGACTTCCGTACAACGCCCTTTGTAAACAGCCGATCGAGTTCCTTCGCTCCTCTCCCGGAAGAGATTATCGGGACCCCTACCGGACTTATTTTTTCCGACGATAACAAATACATCTTGCATGGTTCGACTAATGGAACAAACCTTTCGTAGTAGGGCGGGTCGTGTTACTTCCCGCCTCACGCTATTGCTTGTTACCCAAGTTGGTTACAACATTCTTTCATACAAAAGTAGTTACCTTTCATCTCCTAACCAATTGTCCTTCTCCTTAGGGCCAGTTGGTCCTTCCTCCCCGTAGAGTTGCGTTGGAAACAACTCGATTAAGTTCTCGACCGAGAATCGAACAAAGAAGGGAAGACGATCAATCAACTTATCTAGCTCCTCTCGTCCATCATACACAATGGTCGGACCCCAGTCTCGCATATACTGCAACCAACATGGTTCGGATATAACGCCCTTGCCAAGGTACTCGGCCGCGACAATTTGATACTTGGTGCTCGAATCAATGAAAAACTTGCTCCGTGCAGCGTCATTCCTTACCCCTATGTCAAACTTCGATGAACCCTGGATGTAAGTCCCCGGATGAGCGTAGCTGCTATGACCGTGTTTTGAAGAGTACACAATCGGCTTATTGCCTTCAATGAACTCCAAGTCAAAAGCATCCACCCATCTGCCACCGCTGTGCTCTGAGAAGTACACTTGCCAGAGTTCTCCCGTGAAGTTGTTCACTCGGAGAGTGAAGTGCTCCCAGTCACCGACATGTTCGCCTATCTTGTTGAATGCAAAACTTACCAAACCAATTTTAATGGCGGATGGTCCGTTGAAGGGGCAGAACACCCACATGGCAATATCTGTAAAAGTTCCTCCCAGTGCTGGTTTTACATGAACGTAGAGCTCCGCGCTGTCTATGTTTCCAGCCTTGAGAAGATTTTTAGCTTCATCGTCATTTGGCAAATCTATCCAAAAATCACTGTCATCTTCCCCTCCACCAGGCAAATTGGAGCCTCTGTGATCAATCGGTTCACCATTCCCAGTGTCTTCCCGGTACAAAAGTGCCCCATTTTTGAAAAACCATTGTACCGAAGATGGCATATAAACCTCATTAGGATGGAAGAACACTGTGGGACCGTAGTGCTCAATTAGCGAATGAATCTGGTTCAGATTTGGCATTGCGTGCAAGGACGAATCAAAATTCTTCAAGCAAGAAACTTGTAGCTCTTCATTAGAATCCAAGTAGGTACTGCAAAAGAATGTACCAACCGAAACACCAGTGCAGAACATACCTCGTTTGCAGGGTCGTGTATTCCACACCTCAAATTTTGAATCCATTGCAAGTATCCGATCACATGTTTCACAAGTCTCTGTAAGATCTTTTCGTACGCATCTAACTTCTTCGGGGCTGGGTTCCTCAGGCATGTCAGTGACCACAAAACCCATGGCCTTATAACCAACAGGTGGGTTTGGCAACCAAATATAACCACAACCATTTTCACTTAAATCCGCATTGCAGACTAACGAGTAGTTAACCGGTTTTTCTAAAGCTGGTAACTCTAATGCTGAGTCCCTGGTACAACCATCTTCCGCCCTTCTGGCAACTGTTTCACGAGCCACAAGAACATACCCTTGCAATGGCTGGTAATTGGGCTGGCAGTAGTAACCGAGGCAAAAGAAGCCATCAGGGATACCTGCAGGTCTATAAAATGTGACACCCTTTGATTTTCCACGCGACAGATTGCAGCTCCAGATGCTCTCAAACTTGGTTATTTGGGTAACTTCAATTTCTCCGAGGCGTATTCTTCCAGTAGCAAATCCTTCGCCTGAAGAAATGACGGTACACATTGTTCGGGAAATGAGCTCATAATAACACATCAACATTTATCCGACGACAGTAAAATCTTAGCATGACATTGGTGTTCTAGGTTTATTAGTTATAATCTTTACTTTCCTCTTGGACCTGAGTATACACAGAAAAATCAACCTATGCAAATATCAACGAAACTCGAAATCAAGCTCCTACGATGCAGTTTGGAGGCAAGCTTCAAACATTTTACATTAACCTTCGGTCAAGGAAGAATTTAGAACTTTAGAGATACCTTAAAAATTTGACATGAGAACACCAAAAGTTTATGGGCTCATTTGTAAGTGCTTTTAAAATAAGTAAAAGCGCTTTTGGTGAAAGTAAGCATTGAATTCCAAAAGCACTTGACGTGCTTCCTGCGCTTCAAGTATTTTTCTAGAATTTACCTGCATTTTTACTAAAATTTAGATCCAAAAGCACTGTCATAAAAAACACTTTCAATCATTTTAAAAGTATTTTCCAACGAGCCCTAGCATTGACCTTTTTTTTTTTGGTAAAAAGTAAAGAACATTGAAGCTTTCAAACTCCAAGAACTTCAATTTCTATGGCTTTTCAGAGTCTTTCATATTGACCAAGTTCATGAAATTGAGTGCATTTTTAAGTAGTCTCTCACATGATTGATTGCCGTTATATGAGTGTGATCTGATCTATTTACTCCACAAATTTTAAAAATTCAGACTCATCTAACGACAATAAATGCAGTGACCACAGTTACCACCGCTAATTAAGGGTGACGAGCAAAAATAATTCCGAGATAAACATTAATTTATTTAAATAAAACAAAGTTGGACCACCAAAATATTGAATTTTTTTTTTTTTGAGAGAAATGCATATGGGATCAAAGAAATCATGAGTCCAAAAGGATATCGGAGCAATTAGAAGTGAAACCATTTATTATCCGTCCTATTATTTTTACATTCTTCAACAAATACAAATTAGCAAATTTCATGACTTCAAGTTGCTGAAAAAAATGAGCTAAAACAAGACAGAAAGCCTTCAATTCTTGAAGAAACGGAGAAAAAGAAAGAAACCCATCAAAAAAGCAGTTGCGAGAGATAAGTGATTAACTGCAAAAGTGCTTCTTGTTTAGGAAAGAATGGATCTTGGTGGGAAATATTACCTTGAGGCCAGTGTGGAAGAGGTGAAGGCAGAGAGAAGGGCTGTGGCTCTGAGTAATCGTACAGTTGGTAGTCACGGCTGCTCCACCACCAACACTCACACCCCAACATCTTCACCCTCTCAAATTCAAAAATCCACAAAAGCACTTCCAAGATTTCTGCTTTTCACTCACCCTCTCAAGTTTCTCTCTCCATCCATGTTTCTGAAATATTTTAGAGAGAGAAAAAAAGAAAGAACGCTCTTTCCTTTCTCTCTCTACACTTTAGGCTAGAGAGAGAGAGAGAGAGAGAGAGAGTTGACAAAGAAAAGAAAAAGAGGTTGAGTGAATTCAGAGGATGCTTAGAGAGAGAGAGAGGGGAAAAGGCAGGAGCTGATGGATGTTGGTTTGGTTTACTTTGTTGTCTGCTTTTGCGTAAGAGCTTTATAATTGGAAGGCGTTGGTTTCAAGCTTCTTCATTTTTCTTCGTTAATTTTTCGGAAGCCTTTTATTAATAAGGATATCTATAATTCGAAAACAACTTATATGATACGAGTAAACTATCATATACTGTCTCGTGTCGATCAAACAAAAAGATAAGAAAAAAAATTAACATATCTTTATTTTACCAACACGAGTCATTCTCCTCACTCTCTCTCTCTGCTCATGCTCACTATTCATCTTCTGAGATAGGAATTCATCTAGTAACTCTTAAATATGAAGAAGGAAAAAGAAGCTTTGAATTTAAATAATTAATTTTTATTAGCTAATTATTGACTAATAGTTACTCTTAAAAGTTGAGAGTATGATTAGAGTACAACTTTTTTAAAGAGATCATAAATTAACATTTTGATAATCTTAGCTGAATTTTTTTACTTAAATTAAAGAGTATGATTGGAAATGATCTAACCATTTTATGATGTTTAGAGACCAAGAGAACTCCAATTAATTTAGGGGTTAGAAGTTGTAATCAATCAAAGTATCTACCTTTTTCTTATTCTCAAATGAATGTTTTTGCATATTATGTGCAACAAATCATAAACTTTTATAACTTTTACATAACCATTTATTTCTCGGTACACTTAAAATTATTGTAACAATACCCTCAGATGACTTGTAAAAATAAATTTTTAGGAATATCCTCCAGGTGGCAGAATATTCTTTGTTTTTTGTGCATTTTACAGATTTTTTTTAGAGCATAAAAAATTACAAAATTTTATAAAATAAAGTCGAGAGGTGACCCAACCTCATCAGACAAAATGGAGAGTGAGGATATATAATGATGAGTCATAACTCAAAACTTGAATGGTCCCGGACTCATCGCTTTATTGAGAAATTTTTAAGGAAAACTAATAAAAAGAGTTTTAAAATTTTAAGTTTGAACGAAAATGATAAAATAAATGATAAAGTTAATAATATCATGATTTATTTTTTTAGTGTTAAAATGTGATTTTTCGTTAAAATGAACATTATCGAGAGTTTTTCGTTAAAATTCCTAAATTTTTAATGTATTCAAAATACAACCAATACATAATATACGTAAAAAGACAATAAAAGATATTTGATTCCCGTTATGACGCGGTCTACTCCTAATTATAATCAAGCTTTTGTTCTATTTCTCATCCACAATCATAAACAACTCAATGGCATTCAATATCTAATGATTGACACCTAATTTATATATGGATAATGTAGTAGTTGATAATTAGATTATTATTTAAATATTAATTAACGTGCTTCTTTTTATTGATGACACATCAATTGATTTACAAATTTAGTTTAAAAATTTGGTCTTTCAATCATTATTTTTTACATATAAGTTTTTGTAATACTACCAAACCAAGCTTTTCAAATAGCACTTATGTGCATGTTAAATATTGTTTGGTTGGTTTGTAAGCGCTTTTGATGAAATTTTATTTGAATATTATATTTAGTAAAAATTCAAATGAATCATCGAAAACACTTTAAATATTTCTTGTAAGAAACACATATTTGATGTTTCTTTAAAAAAAAAAAACACTGCTTTTAAAATCAACCCTTTATTTCAACTAAGGCCATAGATAAGATAAGCACTAACTTATACGTGAAGATGCTTTTTCTTTTGGCGACAAAGATTGGTGCTTTTGGCTTTTGCTTGAGGGTTGCCCTTTACCTTCATGCTATCCTATCAAATCGGGTCCATTTTTAAGTTCAACACTATTATTTCTTGCCTACCAACATTATTATTTGTCTTCCAAATATCTAATGACATCCCTATCTTCAATTCCAAACCACGTGTCAAACATGTACTTGTCAAATGTCTTAGGATGTTCCAAAGTGGGTTCATTTCTGCTCACGATCTTAAGTGGTGGAGAGATTTTTCAGTTTGGCAAATGCGTTGACACATCACATATCATTGTATTATAATATAAGTGGAGGAATACTTGAAAAATAAAACTTTTCTCCCCTTAATATGTGGTGTACCATCCTCTATTTCGAGCACACTTGAAAATTTTCTCCTAGTGGTGGTAGTACACATCACTCGTTTGGAAGTGCTTTTCAAATAATTGAAAGCGTTTTTTATGAGAATATTTTGAAACCAACCCTTAATAAAATCCAAGTGGATCATGGAAAAACACTTGAAGTGTTTATTGCAAGAAACACATATATGATGATTCTTTCAAAAAACACATAAAGTGCTTAGACCTAAAATCAATTTCACCAAAATCGTTAAATCAACTTCACAAAAAATTATTTTCAGTCATTTAAAAACATTTTTAAACGAGTTTAGAAGATAATGTGAAAAATATTTCATTTGGCGTGGAATTGGCACGAAATAATTTAATTGATTAAAAGTCTAAACCCGCCAATCGGACTTCAAATATTGAAAAGTAATATAAGTTGCCGAAAAACGTTACACAATATGTCATGGTCGGCATAAGTTTGATATTGATTCCACCACCAACAAATAATGGAGGATTTTAGCAATGCTTCATGTATTTTCTTTTGATTTGTTTCTTCAACTTTTAATTTGGTTTTGAGACTCCGTATTTTTTGAAACTGGTCAATTTATAATATATCATCAAATTTGTCGATTGAGATTATTTTCGTTTATTTAAGAAGAAAAAAAGAGAGCATATAATGTGAAAATTTCGTCTTTTAAGGAGAAACTCACACTTCTTATAAAATTAGGATTGCTCAAAATGAAACTTGAGATCGACCGGACATATCCGCAGAAGGTTACAAGATCCAGGAACATAGATAAAGTTTTCTCGTTTTTACCACAAATAAGGATATTCTTACGAAATTTAACATGATAAATTTGGTAAATGACGCTTTAATGCAATAGCAGAAAACAATTATGCTTATGCATCTTGGTGCAGATCCGATCCTCATTCATTATTCTCTCCGTAACAACTAATTATTTGACTCACTATTTCTATTGTGCTACCAAAAAAATGACAAAATTGATTATATTGGGCCTTATTTGTCCGGGACAAAATTTGGGCTTATGACCCAAATACTTGTGGGCCGTTGACCCAAACTTGAAACCCTCTTTCAGTTGTCACTCCTCACTCCAGCTTCCCCTGCATTTTCTAGTCAATCCATTTCCCACCGGAAAAACCAACACCAACAAACAATGGCTTCCACCTCCAGCTCCAACTTCACTCCTTTCCGATAGCCGCGTCACCATGGACTCCGTTCTCGCCCTCCGCTCCCTCCCCAGCTGCTTCGCGCCGTCCCGAAATCCCCGCTTCTCAAACTTCGCCGCAAACCGCCGCATCAAAATCCAAACTTTCGCTTCGAAATTCCCGAAAACACCGCGAATTCCACTCTCGATTCCGCGCAATACCCGCCTTTTTAGCCTTCTAGAAGCTTCCAGAAGTGTCGGCTCCGGGGAAGAAGAAAGGCCGGCTCTTTCCGCCGAACGCATTGCCAGGCAGGTAGTGTTGGGGCTGTTCTGCTTTGTTTTCGGGTTTGCGCAGTTTCGGGCGGGTCGGAGTGTTGCGGTCGCGGCGCCGCTGGTTTCGGAGGCGGTTTTGGATAAGGAGGAGGTGAAATATGAGTACTCGGAGTATACGAAGAGGCTGCTGGAGACGGTGGGTGCGTTGCTGAAGAGTGTAGATGAGGTTAGAGGAGGAAATGGGGATGTGAAGCTCGTCGAGGCGGCATGGAAAGCGGTGAGGGGGAAGAAGGATGAGGTGCAGGACGAGATATTGGGTAGGCTCCATGGGGAGCTGCGAGAGTTGAGGAGGGAGAAGGAGGGGCTGGTAAAGCGGTCCGACGAGGTTGTGGCCGAGGTGGTGAAGGTGAAGAGGGAATTGGAGAAGTTGGCGGGCAATGCGGGTGAGGAGAAGTCTAAGGAGATGGAGGAGAGGATGGAAGAGAGGCTGGGGAGTCTGGAGGAGGAGTATAATGGGATTTGGGAGAAGGTTGGAAAGATTGAGGATCGGATTTTGAGGAGAGAGACGGCGGCATTGAGTTATGGAGTGAGGGAACTTTGTTTTATTGAGAGGGAATGTGAGCAGTTGGTTCAGAGTTTTACCCGCCAAATGAGGAGGAAGAATGTTGAGAGGTATTCATTACACAGTCATATTTATGTTCATGAATTCGAATTGGACTGGAAGTCGTATAATGTTTGATCCTGTAAATTAGTAATTCTTGGTGAAATATGATGTCGAAAGTGATTAACTTAATCGAAGTTTAGTTGATATCTTAGTTGATGTACTGCTCACTGTCTGTATGCATAATTCTTTGCTGGTGGTTTTGATAAAATTGCACACTAATTCATATTTTTCTCATTTCGCAATGTTTTGCTTGATTGGATGCTTTTTTTTTCAACTTTGAAAGCAATATCTTTTGGGAAAAAGAAAAATTAGTAATCAATTTCGTCGTGTGAGTATCAATTGTTATGTGGTTGCAGTGTGCCAAAAGACTCGGTTACCAAGCTTTCTAAATCTGATATACAGAAAGACTTGGAAAATGCACAAAGAAATAATTTGGAGCAAATGATTCTGCCAAATGTTGTGGAAGTTGATGATCCGGGACCCCTCTTTAATTCGACGGATTTTGCTAAACGTATAAAACAAGGCCTTAAAGAATCAAGGGAGCTGCAAAAAAAGACTGAGGCTCAAATAAGGAAAAATATGAAGAAGTTCGGCAGCGAAAAGCGTTTTCTTGTAAAAACACCAGAGGATGAGGTGGTGAAGGGATTTCCGGAAGTTGAATTGAAGTGGATGTTTGGAGATAAGGAGGTTGTGGTTCCGAAAGCTGCTGGCCTCCATTTGTTCCATGGGTGGAAGAAGTGGCGTGAAGATGCTAAGGCAGACCTTAAAAGAAATCTATTAGAAGATGTTGATTTTGGTAAACAGTATGTGGCCCAGAGACAGGTAGCTTTTGCATCCTCTTCATTGTTGTCATTTTTTTCGTAAATTTTTCTGAGTTAACGTAAAGGTTGACTAACTTTCATGTGAAGTTATATGGTATAGTTTGATAGACTAATGTTATATGCTGTTTATCAAATGTCGATTTCAGGAACTAATTCTTCTGGACCGCGACAGGGTGGTGTCGAAGACGTGGTACAATGAGGAAAAGAATAGATGGGAAATGGATCCAGTAGCTGTTCCTTTCTCCGTGTCAAAGAAACTAGTGGAGCATGCCCGAATTAGGCATGATTGGGGTGCCATGTATATTGCACTCAAGGGCGACGACAAGGAATATTATGTTGACATTAAGGTAATGCAACGCTTTGTTAAATTTTTCGTGCTGTTTGCTATTTTAATTATGTTTCTAATCTTTAAATTCTCATACCAGGAATTTGAAATGCTATTTGAAGATTTTGGAGGGTTTGATGGGCTGTACATGAAAATGCTTGCCTGTGGTATTCCAACTGCTGTTCACCTGATGTGGATTCCTCTTTCTGAGTTGGATATCCGTCAACAATTTCTCTTGCCCATAAGGCTGTCTCATCAATTGTTTAATGCATTGTGGAATACTAGAGCAGTATCGTATACAAGAGATTGGGTTCTTCAGAAGTTCAAAAATATAAATGACGACATAATGATGACAATAGTTTTTCCTCTTGTGGAGATTATACTACCCTACTCTGTATGTTCATTTCTCACCTGTTTAGTTGCTTTTTTTTTTTTACTAACGTGATTATGATTCTTTGTTTCTATCTTTTTTTCTTATAACAGGTAAGAATACAGTTGGGGATGGCATGGCCCGAGGAAATTGATCAAGCTGTTGACTCAACATGGTACTTGAAATGGCAATCTGAGGCAGAAATGAATCATAAATCCAGAAGAACAGATGACATCCAATGGTATTTTTGGTTTCTCGTGAGAAGCGCCATATACGGATATGTTTTATTTCATCTCTTTCGTTTTATGAAGAGAAAAATTCCCAGATTTCTTGGTTACGGGCCATTACGCAGAGATCCAAACATGCGGAAATTGCAGAGAGTGGTATTGCCTGCTTCCTTTTTCTGTTAACAACTTTACATTTGATGGTTATGACAATCAAACTGTTGCTTGTGTGTTGGAGCATTGTACTATTGTTTCTTGCCATTTACAATCTTATTTTATTTTGCGTTATTTGAGGCTAGGCTATACATATTTCTTAATAGCACCAGCAATTACGTTTTCATAATCTTAATGACTTGCAAAGCTGTGTTTCAAATACTTTGTGAACCTTAATGTTGTATAATATTTTAATGTCTTGAATATATTGTTGAACTAAAGCATCAGATTCTTTTGGGGGTCTGAGTAGTCTCTATGAATCCTATGTTTTCATTTTTAGATTGTGAAAGAAAATGGGATACAACTTAGGTGACCATTGATGATCAATATTTTTTTAAAAGCAGCAATTTTTGGTTTCTTATTTCTTGACATGGAAGTGGTATTCATATCAAGATCTTTAACCATAATGTTTAGCTTCATAGTTGTGCATCCTTTAGTTGATCCCCTCTTTTGCTTATCTCTTGCAGAAATATTATCTTAATTACCGGGTGAGGACAATTAAAGGTAACAAAAAGGCTGGTGTTGATCCTATAACAAGGGCTTTCGATCAAATGAAGGTTCATACTTGGAACTTAAAGTTCTTCTGTGTGTTATAACTAAATGAGTTTTGATAAATTAAATGGTGAGATCTATGGCTGGTTGCAGAGGGTGAAGAATCCACCAATACCGTTGAAGGACTTCGCCAGTATTGAATCCATGAAAGAGGAAATTAACGAAGTTGTGGCATTTCTGAAAAATCCTGGTGCATTTCAAGAAATGGGTGCCCGTGCACCTCGGGTATGTTATATAATTTGTAGTTATTTCGAGAATGTTCTGTAATGTATTCTATATAATTTACATTAAAAAGGTTGTTATAGGTAACTAGCTTTTCAAACTTTGTTTTAGAATTTTTCTTTGTCATGTTTGTTTTAGAATTTTTCAGCATGTTAGTTTTGCTGAATGCATAGCCATAGTACATGATATTTGAATGTTACCTTGGTGCTACGAGCATTTGTTGATCTTTCTTCTTTTTATTTTTCTTCAATTTTTCAATAGAGGATCTGCTTGTTGACACTGTGGATACTGGGTACTAGTTAAGAGGTCGATCAGCTCCTGAGATTGTTTGTTCTTTATATTTGCAGGGGGTTCTGATTGTAGGGGAGAGGGGAACAGGAAAGACATCTCTAGCACTGGCTATAGCTGCTCAAGCTAAGGTGCCTGTTGTTAACATTAAAGCTCAAGAGTTGGAGGCTGGACTGTGGGTTGGGCAAAGTGCATCAAATGTTAGGGAGCTGTTTCAAACAGCGAGAGAACTGGTAGCCGTCTATCTATCTAGCTGAGTCACTTTGCGTGGATTATGAAGGAAATTTCCTGTATCTTTCTATGTTTAAATCTTTTGCTGAGGCACTTTATGTCATTTTCAGGCACCTGTAATCATATTTGTGGAGGATTTTGACCTCTTTGCTGGTGTACGTGGAAAATTTATCCACACTAAAAATCAGGATCACGAGGCTTTTATTAATCAACTGCTTGTGGAACTTGATGGGTAACTCTCAGCTCTTATTTTATTTATTGGACTAACAGTCCTTGATTAGCATTCTTTTATGGGCTTTTGTAGGGTTATATATATAATTCTTTATGGGTATTTTGTATACAGTTGAGTGTCCTTTTTGCATGACGTGAACTGTGTTCATAGTAATTTTAGGAACGATCTGCAATTTATTCTACACTTTCTGCAGGTTTGAGAAACAAGATGGGGTTGTATTGATGGCTACTACTGGTAATCTCAAGCAAATTGATGAGGCCTTACAGCGCCCTGGTCGCATGGATAGAGTATTTCATCTTCAAAGGCCAACTCAAGCAGAAAGGGAGAAGATATTACATATGGCTGCAAAAGAAACAATGGATAGTGAACTAATTGATTTTGTAGACTGGAGAAAGGTAATTGCTGAATCAGTTTCTTATCTTATTTGTTCTCACACTAAAGCCATTGTTAAAGTGGATAAGTTTCCTTTGTGGGTTGGGAACTTGTTACCTTATTATATGCCATCATATTTATTCTTAAATCCTTTTCTAGTAATTTGCACTTTACATTTCAACATTCTCTGCCTTCAGGTTGCTGAAAAGACAGGTCTTTTGCGACCTATAGAATTAAAGCTGGTGCCTGCATCCTTGGAAGGTAGCGCTTTTAGGAGCAAATTTCTTGATACAGATGAACTTCTGAGCTACTGTAGTTGGTTTGCGGTAAGAATCAATTGATACCGTTCTCTCATTGTCTTTGACAGAAAGCACGCATGTTTCATCTGGTTGACTGTGTATTGACCACATGCTTTATATTGTCTCCTGTTTTGTCTATTTATCTTTGTTTTACTATTACTCAATTTTTGTCTGTAGGGTGGCGTTCTGGTATCATTTATTTCTTAATATCACTCAAGGCTTTGTTGTTGTTTGTATCAACTCAAGGCCTAGAGTACTTATTACTCACACTACAAAAGCAAGGGGGCATCACCCCTCAGGATCTTTTCTCGTGTTTCTATAAGAGAAGGGATCTACTGGGCTGGGCCACCTTTGGTTATGCGTTTCAGTTTTAGTTGTTTTAGTGGTGGGGGCGGATGGCAATTCATGTCATTTTCATATGCAGTTTCCTAATGAAATGGTGTTATTGCTTGTTCTTGCAGACTTTCAGCACTTTCATTCCTGAATGGGCGAGGAAAACCAAAATTGGCAAAAAGCTAAGCAAAATGCTGGTGAATCATCTAGGGCTAGCATTGACTAAAGAAGATCTGCAGAGTGTGGTTGATCTGATGGAGCCATATGGTCAGATAACCAATGGAATCGAACTTCTAAACCCTCCTCTTGAGGTACCTAATTATATAAGTTCATTGTTTATCTTTGATGGAAGCTTGTATTTATATATAAGAGTAAAATAATATATGTTAATTGGTTTTCCAGTGGACAAGGGATACCAAGTTCCCACATGCTGTTTGGGCTGCTGGTCGTGGTCTCATTGCCCTTCTATTGCCAAACTTCGATGTAGTCGATAATATATGGCTGGAGCCATTGTCTTGGCAGGTTTGTCCTGTTAATCATCATGATTTTAGATCTCTCAATGAATGTTTGCATCTATTGTTAATTGATGTATTAGTTACAGGCAGCTTACTTAATCTGAGTGAAGGTGTTGCTACTTGATTTTGTATGTTTTATTAAATGACTCCTCCTCATATATGGTGAATTTATATGCTATAGTTGTAGTTACTTGAAAAAAAAAAGTCGTTCAACTTACGGAATTCGACCTGGGAAAACTGTGGAGAAATTTAAGCTTCTTTTTACAGGGAATCGGATGCACAAAAATAACCAAGGTGAAAAATGAAGGGTCCGGGAGCGCGAATTCTGAATCAAGATCATATCTTGAAAAGAAGCTTGTATTTTGTTTTGGTTCACATGTTGCATCACAAATGCTACTGCCTTTTGGGGAAGAGAACTTTCTTTCTTCTTCAGAGTTAACGCAGTCACAGGAGGTTGGTTTTTTCTCTGCTTTGTGCTTCTCAATCTGTACTAAGCAAAAACTATCTCTAGGATATGCAACCATAACTCACTTTTCTGTTTTTTGTCTTCCCTCCTTTTGCAACAGATAGCTACACGGATGGTCATTCAGTATGGTTGGGGGCCTGATGATAGTCCGGCAATATATTATCGCACGAATGCGGTATTCTTCTTTCTTTAAATTTAGAAGTTGGTCATGTGATATAGAATGAGGTAGCAAGTGGCGATATTTTCTTCGCACTTCTAAAAATCCCATTATTTAAGCCCTAATTGTTTTTATCTGCTTTAAGGGTTTGATAGGCTTTTTGATATGTTACATGTTTTCATTGGCTTAGTCTACTGCTTTAAGCATGGGGAACAACCATGAGTATGAGATGGCAGCTAAAGTTGAAAAGGTATGAACGACCGTAACTCTTATTGCTTACTAATCAATTAGTGATGTATTGGCTGGTCTAACTTACTAGAATTATATTCTTCTTACAGATATACGATTTAGCATATTATAAAGCGCAAGAAATGCTTCACAAAAATCGTCGAGTTCTTGAAAAAATAGTTGATGAGTTGCTTGAGTTTGAAATCTTGACTGGAAAGGTAAAATATCTGTATTGATTTTCAATTGGCATCTCTCTTAATTCAACTGGTAGTCGAGTCTCCTTTTATCCAGTAAATTTAATCTCCATATATCTATGTTCGTTGACTTTGTTGTGTGATATCTGCAAACTATGAGTGACATCTATTTATTGCTTCATTTTGAGATAGACTCTTCTTGGTAATGGCAGGATTTGCAAAGAATTTTTGAAGAAAATGGAGGTGTTCGGGAAAAAGAGCCCTTTTTCCTTTCTGGATCTCATGATAGGGAGGTATATCTAATCTGTTAGTAGTTACGTGCTTCTGATGGTGCAAGTTTTGAATTTCCTTTTCGCTTATTGTATGAAGTTTTTGTCTGTCAAATTCGTTGTTAGAAGTTCTGCTCATTTATAATACCTAAATAAAGAGTTCTCTGAAAATCTAAAAACATTAACATCTTATAAAACCTAACGAGTCTCTCTCTTTCATTTTGTTATTGTCTTTGTTCTTTCCAGCCACTGTCTGGCAGCTTTCTCGAAGGTGGGAGTGCATCAGGAACAGCTCTTTTAAGCGCAGCAGAATAGATTTCCGAGGAATAGATAGCTGTAGAACCAATTCCTATTTTTGGCTCGAAGGTAACATCCGTCCTATTTACAATGAGATTCGCTGCTTGTTTGCGGTGCAATGTGGTCTTTGTTGTCCTCACGTTTCATGCCCTTCGTTTTCTGTTTTTTCGGTATGGGAGATGTAAGCCAGTTATAGAGGAAATAGTTATAGCTTGGGAAGAGGCAAACATTTTTCCTTCTCAACCACCATTTTTCATTAGTATGTGATTATAATTGTTAATAGAATGATACATTTCGAAAGCATGTCTTCGGTTTGTTATTGTGTTTGTCCGTCAGGACAACGAACATATGTGAGCTCATGTATACCCCCTCTTTCGAACCTTGAATTAACCCAAACTGCATAAAGGTACCGCTTGGTTGCAATTGCTGGAGGTACGTAGAATTTTCGATTTAACACAATGTAATTCTTTTTCGTTGAATGTTCATCGTTGTATCTTGATATGAATGCGCAGTATAAATTAGTCCAAAGAACAGAAAAAATACATTTACACGAACGAAAATAAAACACGAAGAAAACCCCTGCAGAACGAGTTCCTACAGAAGACCCATGACTGGTGAGGTGCTGAATATAGGCTTCTCCGTGCCAATTTTCTGGCTTCTACTCTCACAAATGCTTTTCCTCCTCGGTTTCGCCTCTCCGAGCATTGTTATTATGTCTCTCATGGAAGGCCTGTCTTTCGGGAGCTTTGCCGTACAGACAAGCGCGATTCGGAGGACGAGAAGCATTTCTTCTTGAACATGCATGCATTCACCGGCTATGCTAGGATCCAGTGTTTCTTCTAAGGCTCTCTTGGTCCTCATCTTCCTTCGAACCCACTCCACGATATCCACAGATTCCCCGAACGCAGGGTCTACCGGCATCTTTCCGGTTAGAAGCTCTAACAGAACTACGCCGTAGCTGTAGATGTCAGTCTTTTCGTCTACCTTCAATGCGTATCCGTATTCTGTTAACAATAGAAGAGAGAATAAAGTTCATATTAACATGGTTAACTAGTTTTTGACAGTAAAACCGTATTCTGGTAATTAACATACCAGGTGCAATGTATCCGTAAGATCCCGCCACCATTGAAACTGTCTCGTTCTTGTGGATCATCATCCTTGCTAGCCCGAAATCCGCCACTCTGGCGTCAAGGTTTGCATCCAGCAGAATGTTGTTCGATTTGATATCTCGGTGAATAACTGGCGGCTGACAGTCGTGGTGGAGATAGTTCAGACCTTGTGCAACACCCACTGCTATGTTATACCTCGAAACCCAGTCGACCAGCAACTTTCCGGCTTGATTTCCATGCAATGCAGTCCCGAGGTTCCCGTTCGGCATGAACTCGTATATCATCACAACGTCGCTTTCGTTATGAAGGTACCCTAGCAACCGAACAATATTTCTATGCCGGAGCCTGCCGAGGAGGTTCACTTCACCAAACAGATCATCACCACTTTCAACGTCTGTCCCCGGTCTCCATAGCTTCTTAACTGCTACAACCGAGTGGGGTCGATGGATTTCCGCCTTGTAAACAACTCCGCTCCCGCCCATGCCAATGATATTCGATTCTTGTATGCAAGCCAGAATGTCAGCACTTGTGAAGTTAATTCTCTGAAATGCTACTAACCTCCAAGGCCACTCTTGATTGGTCTTGTTAAACCAACTGTCGAAGCTGTTATATAAGTACCATTTCCGATACATCCATCTCCCTGCGAGAAATGCGGTTCCCACAGTCAAAATTACTGAGATTCCAACGATGAATCCAGTAAGGATGTGTTTGATGTGCATATTCCGAATAGGAGCTGCTGTTGCGGCTAAACTGTGAGAGCACGGTGGAAGTATGCCTCCGCAAAGACCGGCATTGCCTAGGAGATCGTTAGGGTTTAGGGTCATTAGGATACCATTTGCAGGTACTGGACCTTCAAGCCTGTTGTAAGACAAGTTAAGCATCTCCAAGGCTGGTGAGCTTCCGAAACTTTCCGGGATTTGACCTACCAAAGAATTGTTGGACAGGTCGAGAACTGACAATGTATGCATTGTCGCTATTGATTGAGGGATTTCCCCGTTGAACTGGTTGTTTCTGAGGTTCAGGTTCACCAGCTTCTCGCAAGAAGCTATGCTCTCTGGAATTTTTCCGGAGATGTGGTTGTTTGAAATGTCGAGGACTGAGAGTGACGGACAGTCTTGGAACTGGTCCGGCAGCTTGCCTTGCAAGTTGTTATTGGAAGCCATGAAGGTTTGAAGATTAGGAAGCGAAAGGATACTCGAAGGAAGATATGATTCGAGGCGGTTCCAAGAGACATCGATGAAGGAAAGAGACGCAGACAGAGTAATGTCAGCAGGAATTTGGCCAGTAAGATTGTTTTTCGCCAATTCTAGCCTCTGAAGAATTGGAAGATTTCCCAGACCAACTGGAATGGATCCCGAAATAAGATTGTTTTGCATACGAACACGAACCAATGACAAACATGTCGAAAGCCTTACTGGGATTGGACCGGAGAAGGAGTTGTTGAACAGGATGAGTTTAGTGAGATTGCCGGAATCACACAAACCTGGTGGGAGATCACCCGACAATGAGTTCGATGACACGTCTAACCATTGCAACGGGGAATTCCTTCCAAGGTTTCTTGGCAGAGGACCTGTCAACGAGTTCTTCCACAGCTCAAGTACCTGTAACTTGGTTAACTTGCCGAGGTTGGCAGGAACTGAACCTGTGAGCTTATTGCACATTAAGTTCAGAAGCTGCAGATTCGTCAATTGTGCAAGCTCTGCAGGAATCTCTCCGGAAATCTGATTATCGGAGAGATCCAAGAACGCTAGCGATGTAATGTTACCGAAATCTGGTGGGATTTTTCCTGTGAAATTGTTTTTGTACAAATAAACTGTGGTGAGTTTTTGCAGTCTACTCAATTCAGGTGGAATTTGGCCGCTGAGACTGCCAACTGCCAAGTCAAGATACTGAAGATTGGTGAGGTTGCCAAACTCCGCTGGGATTTCGCCTTCAAAAGCGTTGTATCCGAGAATAATAGTCTCTAGTGATGAAAGCTGCCCGAATTCTCTTGGAAGGTTTCCGGTGAGATTGTTGCCAGATAGGCCAAGAAACTTCAGCTTCTGCAGGTTCTTGTAAGATGTAGGGATCGAGCCTTCAAAGAAGCTCCCTCTGAAATCTAGGATTTCGAGGGATGTTGCGTATCCAAGATCATCCGGAAGAAATCCTGAGAAGTTGTTGCTTGATGCATTGACTGATGTGAGTCCTGAAGCCCTTCCGAAACCCGTTGGAAACTCGCCAACAAAGTTGTTTTGGCTCACGTCAATGCTCTTCAGCGACGTAAGATTGGTTATCAGCCTTGGCAACGATGTTTCAAACGCGTTGCAAGATATGTTGAGGATCGAAAGACGGCGCAAGCCTTGAATGTGATCGGAAACATGGCCGCTGAGGTTCATGTTGGAGATGTCCAGCTTCTCTACGAACCCTTTTGAGTTGCACCAAACTCCGGTCCAGTTGCAATGTGGCGAACCTCCCTCAACTGCGTTGCTCGGCATTTTCCAATCATTGAGGCCGCCGGTTGGATCAACGAGACTAGCTTTGATCGAAAGTAAGGTCGACCACTCCACATTCTGCCCGGTTTGAGCAAAAACAAGAGTGGTGGCAGCGAAACAGTAGAAGAACACCAAGAGGGTTGACATTTTTGTTGTTCTTCTATATGTTCCGTTCCTCCTCTTATCAGAACGGTGGCATTTTCTCAGGGAGTAAGAGAGTGTCAAGAAATTCGTTTTGGATTTGATTAACTAATGACAGATGGGGGATTAACTTATTGTGAATGCGTGGGTTCTTGGGATCTGCATCAGCTAAATTATATGGAGTTCTTGGAAGCTAATGAGTGAATGACTGTCGAGGTTTGGAGGTATTGGAAATCTCCCAGACAGCAAAACATGGAGAGAATGTGTTTTACAGATGATACATACTTCCATTATTCTTCTTATAATTCGTCATTAGTCAACTGGACAGGCATTATTTATTAATTATTAACTATAATTTTTCTCGAAAATTTGTACTTTGATCTTCTGTTACGTTTAGGAAACAGTTCGTTTTTTTTTCATGATTACTTGGCAAATCATGACATTATTCATTTGCTTTATAGTATTTTAATTCCTATTTTGTTTCACGAATCTGTTTGTGAAAAAGAAGTAACTTTCGTACCTTCATTTTCTTCTTTTTTTTATGCTATTATACATTTGGACTGAATGAATGAAAAGAGAATCAACTAACAACGTGAGCTAATAGTTAGGGACGAATTACAGGCTCATATCCCACACAACATGTCTTAAGTTCGATTCCTGAGGTTGGAGCAACACACAATGGTGCTAAGGGGAGACTGAAATGCCTCAGTGAGTCTTCCAACCCCTAGAGAGTGGACTGCAGCAACAAAGCCATCAGTTGGTCTTGGTTCCCTTTATAAAAAAGAAGAAAAATAAGGAAATGAAAAGAGAATTAGCTGATAAAAATAAAGAGATGAGTATAGAAGTGGAAAACGGGAGTGCGAAAATCACTAAATTATGAAATTAAGGGTTGAATTAATATTATTTATGGGTTAAATGATTAATGAAATAGAGAATGAAGTGAGTTGTTTAATTGGTAATGGACATGATTAATTTGAGCATATGAGAATCTCTCCATGTTAAAAGGTGCAAAAACATTAGAAGATAGACAACTTGGAACTTTCTTCATCTCCAGAGAGAGAAAGAGAGAGGAGAGAGAGGGAGAGGGACCTCCAAATTCCAGTCACTTCCATAACTTCACATGCAGTCATCTGGCTGATTGCAATTATTTAATCATAAATCTAAAAAAATAAAAATAAATAATTGAATTGCAATTGTGGGATGGAAGAAGATAGATAATAATTGAAGAAGCATAAAAACATGACGAGGCTGGAGGCCATGTGAAAAGAAAAGAATTTAATTCAATCAAATTATTTGTCATATTATTATTGACACAGAAATCAGAAAATATGAGTCCTAAAATAATAAGGGAGAGAGGGTGCATGATTTCAAAGTTAGGTGCCCCCACATGCTGATATGCCAAAAAACAAAAGCCACTAAAGCTAAAGCGCCACCGCCACGGCCGCCGCCACCACCACTAATCATTCATCCATCCATTTTATCAAATCAAGATGGAGGAGGGAATCAATGAAATTGTGGGCATCACACTACATGAATCGAGATATGGAATTATAGTAGTTCTTAGTCAGTAAGTAGGTTGATACGATATTTTAGTGGTTGATGACGAATTTCAGGTTCGTATTCGATATGATACGTTTTGTGTCCGATTTCTAGCGTTGGTGAATAACACAATGGTGGCCATGAAAGGTTGAAATGTATATGTGAGTTTTCACAATCCCTGAAAAGATGGATTGCCGTGGTGATGCCACTTGCTGATCCTTTTTTTTTTTAAACAAAAATACGAATATTAACTATTTATTTAAGATCGCTTCACGATATGTGAAATCATGAAATGTTCACGACAAAAATTAAAATAGCTAAATGATTTTTTATTTGAGATTAGGGTGATTTTTTGCTAAGATATTTTTTTATACGAAGTTATGTTTACATTAAGGAGGCGGGAGAATAAATTAGTTGCGGCCTCATTGTTTATGAGATTCAAACATACTCACAAGCAAAAAAGAATATTACTAAATTATAGTACTAAATGACCTGCTAAGATTATCTTTGAAGAGAAACTTAAATATGAATTGCATATTATAATTAAATTATGGAGTGAACTCAAATAAGCGGTGAACAATGTATTAAACTTACAAATTAGTTAGCACTTAACGCTGACATACAATTTCACACCATGGTAGATAAGTTTGGTTGATTCTGGACCTTTGGGCTTGAAGTAAAAGGTCCAAGGAAAATCAGGACCAAAGTGGACAGACCTAACAAACTTCTACTGTGGTGGTGTGCCCAATTCTGCTCTGGTTATCCCAATACTCGGTCACAACACGACTACAGAGCCCAACGTAGTGAAACTCAAAACTTGTCATCTCTACTCGATCAATCAGTACAGCCGGAGGCTATAATTTTATAATTTTACAATCCACCAGTATATGTGATGCACTTGTGTTTTGGATGACTGAAATTTTTTAACAGAAGGATGATAATGGATTAGGCGAATCAAACTACACATAAGGTTTGATCATCGAACTACAATAATAGCCTTATGTTTAGTTCTAAAACCGAACAAGGTGGTTAGAAAGAACTAAGACTCGGAGATTAGTCATCAACTACAAAGTATGCTACTTTGTTCTCGCTTAGATCGATTCAGAAGGGCTAAGTCCATGATAAACGATCCCGACATCCCCTAACTCCGAAAGAATGATTAAATTTATATGGCTGAATCTTGACAATCTTAATTTAGTTGTTTAGAGACTTGTACATACTATATACCGATGCATATGCATCGGGTAAACTCCCTTCCACTTCCATGAATCATGGTTCTTTCTTAGTATCTTGATTCATGGAAATATAAGCTCCTAATTGTTTTCAATGTCATTTTGTACATACGTCACATGTCAAACTATGTGATATTAAAATGTATTAACTATTAAGCTTAGCATTACGGATAAAATCGAGTTGCTTAGAACAAGTGTCAAGTTAAAAAAAAAAATAATAATCTCGATAAGGAGATGCTAACGTATGAATGTCCTCATTTGCAATCCCCAGTTATATTTGGGATTGGAGATTGGAAAACAAACAAGAGTTACACATCAATCATAATCATAAGCTAATAGAGAATAACGAAATATAAATATGTAATATATGTCAATTTAACTTCATGAGAAAATAAGTTTATTTATTTTTTTTTTTTTACAAATAATATTATTTATGCTAAAGGAGAGGGAGGTGGGCTTAGCCTCATAATAGGCTAGTAAAAATGTGGTTCAAATTCATATTTGACGAGAATCGAACCTAAGACCTCGTACTTACAAGTGAAGAGGAATATACTAGACCGCGAACAAACATTTATTAAACTACTCTAATTGTTGGAACCGAGTAATAGCATTCTAAATCCTTGGAACCGAGTCCCAAAAGAAAGAAGTGAAAGTCCTAAAGACCTTGTGCGCTAGTATATATAATATATAAGTGTTAGCAATGTTCTAAAAAGTTCCGTCTAAGGTCGCTTGGGCTAGGTGCTAGGCGGTTGGTGCTATTACTCATTACACCCTGTTATGTATATTTTTAAGTATAAGTAGACAGTTATTTATTCGATATATAATTAATGTAGTAAAAATTAAAAAAAAAAAACCATCTAGGCATTAGGTCCCTGCTCGCTGCCTGACTAGTGCCTAGTGACTTTTAGGATTACGGCCGAGTAATCTCCACTTGTAAGTAAAAAGTAAATTAAATTTGACTTTCATAAATAATGCGTTTAATATTAAATTATTGCGAGTTCATTTGATGGCTTATATATCCTATGCCCCTACCCCTATATTGTTGTATAACAATAAATAATTATGGCACTAATCTAGGTTCTAATAGAAGCTAAACATTCAAATATTATAATTAGGTTATCCTTTTCAAAAGAACAAAGAAATTACAGTGACTGGAAAGTAATGGTTCATTCATAATTCAGAAAGGGAAAAAAGACATGAACTGATGAGAATATAAAGTTGGAGTTTGGATCCCCATGTGTTGGGGAGATATGGAAGAGCACAACAAAGAAATTAATTAAATAAAAAGTAATTATTATGAGCCAAGGACCAGACTTGCCGGGACGTTACATCTTTTCCTTCTTTTTTCCTCTTCATCCCCTTTACTTTGGTTGCCTTTTATGCCCATGTCTCTCTGATGAGCTTGAGCAGTAGTACTTCGCCATTGCAGCTGAAAGTTCAGGCATATAGGATATACTGGAGCATAGTAGAATTCTCGGTCTAACCTTCTTTCTTTTCATGGAAGCTGAAGATGATGAGTCTTTGAAGTACATGATTCTACAGATGAAGTTGATCGAGTTCTTCTGCTGATCAACTATCTAAGTTGGCATGACCCTCTCTTCCTCTTCCTCTTTCGGTGTTTGCTTGGCAACAAAACGTTCTTGGTACTTTATATTTGTGTTCTTAGTGGTAAGTGTGGAATTGTTGGCTAGCTGTATATTGGTGGGGTTAGAGAGGGAGAGAGAGAGAGAGGAGGAGAGAGATAGCAGAGGGGGTGGGGGTAAGAATTTCTTTAGTTTGGTATATGACAAGTCCCAAAGGGTATGGATCGAAATAAAATAATATATAATATTTATGTTTTTTGAGTTAGAGAACGAAACAGTAACACCACTTTATTCCAGTAATACAATGTTATGTTAAAAATTATCTACACATGACATTGTATATGACACAAAACACCACAATAGTTTTGCGATTCTGCAATATAAGTTGCTATCAATATATAGTGAACCTTTGAAATTAGGGTTTTTGAGTCTTAAATGTATACCAACTTTTGTAGGCCCATGAGAAGGCTTTGTATCCTCTAAGCCCGCCATCTGTATTCTATACAAGTGCTTGGTGCATATTTGTTGGGTGCGAATTGACCACTATTCAGAAAATTAATGCCCTAAACAATTAAATCTTATCATGGGATGCAATCTCTACTTTTTCTTTCTTTTATACAGACCCAGTTGGTTGAGTGCTACACATATTTTTAATCTTCGATAATGCTAGGGAGACTAAATTTGCAAATTAAATGATGTGTAACCAATAAGAATAAGCATGTTTATCAACGTGTAAGTAATAAACTAATCATCAACTTTCATGTCCTTTAGTTTTCAAAACTTTGTCTACAAATTTAGTTTTCCTAGCATTACTCTTTCAAACTTATAATTAAGCTTACTGCTTAAAACCAAGATTTTCTATATCGGGCAATGTTAAAGTGACTATTTACTTAAAAC